CCTCCGTGCCGCAAAGCGACTTTATTAATTCGCTTTGCAAAAAATATACGCATATTCGCTTCGAGCCCGGTGTGTATAGGCGAAAGGGATTTTTCGGACCGGCGAATATTCGCAATTTTCGTCTCGCTTTTTCGCTTCGCTCCGCACATTCGCCGGTGTGTAAGGACCTTAAGAGTTCTGTCCTGATTAGATCGGAGGGCTGTGTGGATAAAAGAGACGGAGAGACAGGAGACAGAAGAGACCCTCAGTGTCTGCATGTTAAAGGGATATTTTAGTTAATTTAGGGTCAAATTCACCGTAACACCGAGTTAGACCCCCCCTCCAGAGATGAATGTTGTCGACCGCTTCCTTCTCTAGTTATACCAACTTTAGTAACGACCGCAGGATAGAAATACAGAGAGCCACGCACTCAACCAAAACACCACTCTATAGCCACAAATAATGCTCAGAACAGCACCTAACTTCATCAACAGGACATATAGGGTCACAGACATAGTACTAGACACCAAACATCTTTTTAACTTTGACTCATTTCTTTAACAAAGAGACTAAACACAACTCACCTACTCTCTTCCAGCAGACGCTTGTTTGTAGAGAGACCTCAGGCCAGTCCATTACAGACATTACGGTTTTATATGGAAGTTTTGAGTTTGTGTCATGTGGAAGTTAGAAGCGCGTAAAAAACACTCGACCCGACCCAAAAAAATAAACTACAGGCGACTCTGTGACTCCGCCCCCGCATAGTCGTATTCAGAATATGGTCACCCTATTTCAGTCACACGAACACGTTAACATCCTGGAGCCTCGTTTCAGATGGACTGACACAGAAAATCAGCTTTTGCATTTCAGACTTTTCTGTTTATGAATTTGCATCATTGAACGCCTCCTTAGGCCCTGATGGTCTCTGCGCTTTCACCTGTACTCTGTCCTGGTTTTCTGTTTTGGACTTTGGATTTGCTCGAAGGCCGCAGGAACATCAGTGAAAAAGAAAGAGCGGCGAGAAATTGGAGAGAGGAGGTTCACTGACTGATCAAGAGAGGTTTGTTTTCTGTGAGCTTATTCCAGCTGTAAATGCCATCTTCAGACATTTTGACGTTGCTAAATTCTACGAAACACTCCTTTAAACTAGAAGAACACTGGATGAATGTTAATTTGCTCTGTAAACCGGTTCCTGCACATGAAAAAGGTTAACCATATCATCCTAAAAGCCCCCATGTGGGCCATAAAACCGCCGTGCAGATGTAACCCTGAGTTGAGTTTTATTTCACTGCTGCAGCACAGAGAGAGAGAGAGAGAGAGAGAGAGAGAGAGAGAGAGAGAGAGAGAGAGAGAGAGAGAGAGAGAGAGAGAGAGAGAGAGAGAGAGAGAGAGAGAGAGAGAGAGAGAGAGAGAGAGAGAGAGGACCCTCACTTAAATCAGCATTTTTCCACCCGATCTGAACAAACAGCGTCTTCCAAAAACAGCCTTTCTCTTTGTTTGCCTCCCGAGTCAACATTCAGTTTGAAAAATCAACAGATCCAACTCCAGATAACAGCGGGCCTTCAAAGACCAAATAATGGGGAACAAAGAAGAAGAGAAGAAGAAGAAGAAGAGGAGGAGGAGGAGGAGGAGGGTTCATAAGCAGCCTTCCTGATCTAGATCAGCGGTGAAACTCCAGCACAGTTAACATGCATCATCCTCACAATCACCTCCTTAGTTTCTTCTCCTATCTAAGCTGCAGGATTCCTGGTTCCTCCTCCTGCTCGGTCATCGTCACCGCTGTCTTACACCAGCTCTGAACTCCCCACCTCCCCTGAATCCACCTGCAGGCTCTCGCTACAGAGTGGGCTTAAGATCTCATCCCCCCTCGTGTTTCTGCATGTAAAATAAATTTGCAGGGAGAGACGAGGTCTGAGTCTCGGCTCCGAGTAAAAACCGGGTCCTGCTGCGGATGCAAACAGTGAAGATTACAAACATGAGCTGCTGCTCGACTGAAATCTGAAAAAACACAGAAAATTTCTCTTCCTGTCGTCTGTGTGGAGAAATTCCTGCCACCTGGTCAGCCCTCGTCTCTGACTCTTTATCGCTGAGCTGCCTGCGAAGAAACATTTGCTTCCTGCAGTTACAGCCAGTTTGTCCTGCAGTGATAACATGACGCCACATTGAGCAAGAAAATGTGTCAAATATTTTTTTTGTGTGTGTTTTTTTTTCAGGAGACAGGAGGACATCTCTCTCCGGTTTGGCAGGTGGACTTTTTTAGTTTCGAAAGTTGAAGTTGGAAAATCTTCAAAATCAGCACATGAACATTTCCACTCTGAGTCACAGCAGACAAGTCGAGTTATCTTCACGTAGACGGACAGTCTCCTGCTTATCGATCGGGGCCTGTATGAGAAACTTGTTTATGTGTTAGACATGCGTACTGCGTTTATTTTGTCCACATTTCTGCACGTCTTTGCAGAAACAGACTTGATCTTACAGTTCAGTCCTACAAACTGAAACACAACGTCAGACTTTGAGGACTTCTGCATTCACGTCACATATCCAACTCTGAGTTTGATTCCTCTTTCTTCAAGGGATATTCCGGCGTAAAATTAATTTAGGGTCAAACACACCGTAACACCAAGTTAGACAACCCCCTCCAGAGATAAATGTTGCCGACCGCTCGCTTCTCTAGTTATGCCAACTTTAGTAACATAAGACAAAGCTGTGAGCGCCGACCTTCAGTTTCGTTGCTGATGGTCTTGTTTACGTTTGGATATCATGAAAAGTAGGGCGACCATATTCTAAATCCCCAAAAGGAGTCAAAACTGGACAGCCCCCTAAAAAGGAGGACATGTCTGGGTAAAAGAGGACGAATGGTCACTGAGTTAGAAGAGCGTAAAAAACACTCAACTCAACCAGAAAATTCTCAAAATTTAAAACGCGCAACTCCTTGACTCCGCCCCTCGCATAGTCGTGTCCTTTTTTGGAGGATCCAGAATATGGTCACTCTAACCTTAACAGTTAATTCCTCATTTGTTGTAAATACTCGGTGCGTAAACTGTAAAATTGGAGCCGTTTTAACTTCAGTTTTGTTGCTGATGGTCTTGTTCACTTTTGAATATCATAAAAACGCATTAGTATAAATTTCAGCTAATTTCATGAATGTGAAAAACTCTCCTGAGCGCCCCCTAATGGCCTGGAGGACTAGCTCTCATACCAGGAGTTTCATTTTTTTACTTTTGCACATGTGATCTGAGTTTGTGTGATTTTGGATTTGCAATATTTGCAGCTGATGCAGTCATTTTTTTTCATTTGTGCAGCGTTGGATCCTCAGACTTTGGCGAGTTTGTGTGTGTGTGTGTTTGTGTTTATTTTAATCATTTCTAAACTCGCAGCTGCAGGTCGATTTTCCTCTTTGGCCACCGTACAGACAGGCTGCTTTAAAATTAGATATAAAATAATCAGATGAACCGGCCAACCTGTGACCATCTCGAGCCAAACCAAACATGTAAAGTCTAATGCATTATACATCTGTATCAATTATTGATTTCATATGTTGCCTGGCTCACTGATGCACCTTTCACCATCTGGCTAACGCAACTGAACAGCAACACGTCTCTGGCATCAAAAAAGTCAAATGCAACGAAGAGGCAACCCAGATCCAGTCTGCAGAGCCGGGACTTCGTGGGTTTGGAGGACTCATGCATCAACACATTGACTGCCAAGACCTCTTTGGGTCTGAAATAGACGTTGGTTTATTTTTTGGTATTTGACCTGATTTCACCCGAGTTCATTCGGCAGCAGATTTCTCTTTCCATAAGGCGTGAACTTGATCATTTACATCTCAGAAACTCTCAGACTTTTTGTGTAATAATGGGAGTTTTTCAGACGTGGTTTTCAGACGTGGTTTTCAGATGTGGTCTGACTTGTTTGGAGACACCGCCGTCTGACAGTGCGGTGAAAAAAAGGCGCGCAGTGATCAGACGATCGTCATGGTCGCACTTTGATGATTTATTTTCTTTTCCTGCTTCGGGAAACTTGGTTCATCTTTTCTCATATAATGAAAATGTAACTTGATCCTTCAGAAGAGACAAAGGGACGAAGCGGGATCAAAATGATGAAACTGTTACAGAGACAGAGAGACACAAATCTCTTTCATCTCGGCGTAATGATGGGAGGACGTCTCCCACTGGATGGAGTTTTTTAAGAAAGGTCTCTGTGAGAAGGATTATTTCAAATATTGATCAGACAACGCAAAAGAAGAGTCTGTTTCTGTTTCTTCCACGTCCACATAAACCTGATGAATATTCAGGGCTCTCTCATGAGTCTGATTAGTTGTTTGAGGGTCAAAAAGACATAAAAGTTTGTCTGCTGAGCGTCTGAACAGCGAGCGGCGAGACCCTGACTTCTTGACACTTGTTAAATTAGTACTTTCACTGATCAGATTCATGCCCCCCCTGGTAAACGCAGCTCTGTGACCCGAGGAACATGCCGATGCTCGCCGACCGCCTTTCCCCCGACCCGTCCCGCTGAGCTGCGTGGGCATGACTCGACAGAACTTCCCCCCGCTCGGCAGCGAACAGCCGCGGGACCCCGCAGCTACACCCCTGCTGCAATATCAGAGCATCTGTCCCCCCCTGCGGCTCGCCTTTCAAACGGTGCAAGGCCGTCTTCTTCCAGCTCCAGCATTTTTCAAAGGCAGAGCCAACGCCTGGGGAATACATTATCATCGCATACTGAGCCCATCTGGCCCTGCAACACCTGGGAGGGCGTGCTCACTGATTCTCAAACCCACAGCAGGAGGGGAACTGTTGCACTGCACCCCCAGTAAAGATCCCCTCCGTCATCACGATAATCATTAAATTTCACATTCCTGCTTTTCACTTTGCACCGTGAGGAGTAAATGGGACTTCTTCCCCTCTTGAATGAGCGCTGATTTCAGATATGGAAGAGGGTGAAGGAAGCTGAGAGCCGTTTCCAAACATGACCGAGTGCAGCGTGAATAACACGCTTGGTTATACTAATACACACAAGATGCAGCACATTTCCATTCATAAAAGATGACAATCAAAGGCAATAAAAGCTGTGAAGCTCCAATATTTCCCTGAGATGAAACCCGCTCTGCCTCTTCTCTGACGGCTGTTTGCAGGATCTGCTGATTACACGCCTCACACGGCTCCCACAATGGAGGAAATTGGTTTCCTTATTATTCTATTCCGAGGGGACAAAACAGGTCTCCCGTGGACAAAGACGGTCTTGACCTGACCTTCGCTGATATTCTGAAGTCGTGTCTTCTTAATGAGGAGCCTGAAACAAAGAGGACAGACAGAAATCACCTCCGCTCAGCCTTTGTTGTCTTTCTGCACGGAGGGTAAATTGGCCTCCTCATCAAACGCACATTTTCAAAGGTGTGCATGTTAATCAAAGGAGGAGGAGGAGGAGGAGGAGGTGTGTAGTTAAACGGGTTCACAGCCACGGTGTATTGATTATCTGGACTGGTGCAGAAATATGCCTTATGATAGATATTGATTAATCTGCATGTTCGCTGAGTGCAGGTGTGCTCTAACCTGTGGGATTATGAGATCACATGACGGTAAATCAAACTCACAATTATGTCACAGAAGCGCGGCTCTCCGTGTGCGTGCTCCCTCACGTCAGTCTTTGCATTTTCACATTTTTCACCTCCAACAAAAACAGATATCTGCAGAGTGTGGAGTCTCCTGAGGCGGGCTTTTAAAACGCTCCTTTCTCTGCTGTTTCGAGGCGTCAGCTCTGGGCTACGCTTACGTGACTCACCTTCACCACCTCCAGTGTTCATCAGGAGCCAAAGAGGAGAGAGAGAGAGAGCTCCAGGTGCTGTTTAACATGCATGTCAGGAAACCCAGCTCCAGGTCTGTCCGGCTCCCCGTATGAAGATGCCTTTGGTCACCACAGGGTCAGCGCTGTGTCCCCGCAACCCGCTCCCCCAACAGAATATTAAAACCACAAGACTCTGCTCGCTTGTTTCACAGTCTGTGACATTTTATTTGACGGGTTCAGATAAATGTTTTCCTGTGAAATGTGCAGGTGACATCTAGACAATTTAATGTGTTTATCTGAGACGAGAATAAATAAACATTCAGATAAAAACGGACCAAGGTTATGATAGTTTGGGTTTTTCATTACAGTTTAGTTTTAATCTCTAATTCAGTTACTTTGGTTTAGTTTTTAGAGCAGGTTTGTTTGTTTTTATTAGTTTTCATTTATTTTATTTAACAAAAACATTTTTTCAACTCTAGTTTTCATCATTTTGTTAGTTTTAATTAACGATAATAATCCTGGTCCAGACCGTTATTAATTTACTATAATTAAAAGCTTGAAGAGTTTAGACCCTCTGTTAGTTACTGCTGTTCTCTTTGATTGGCTGACATTCAAATACGGACCAATCACCACACACTTAGGTCACTCTTACCCCCAAATTCCACCAGATGCGGAACGGCGGCAATTTTTCGCCGTCAGCCAAATCCTACCGAATTTGTTTGTGAGGCGAATCTTGTGGCGAATTTCGGACAGCGGGAATCACGAAGACTCACAAGACCCTCGAATTCACATAAAATCGCGTGATAACGAGTTCACTCTATAAAGACATAATCGTATAAACAGTAGATTGTGTCCAGACCAGTAGACCAGACACTTGAAATGACGTCTGAAAACCTTTGACTTGTTTGTCTCCGCCCACAAACGCATGGTGTGAAATATCTGCCTGAAACATATCGTGTTTTATTCTGAAAAGAAGCCAGATGTTTTATTTTGTGTCTGTGCCCAACTTTCTTTCCATCACGGGTTAATCTGTGCTGTGGTATCCGTAAAAAATAGAGCCCTGGCGATCAGCTACGAAGCCCGCTGAACCGCAGGGGGCCGGAGAGACGCCGGTGGAATTTGACAAATTAACTTGAATGGAAATGATCAGCGGTGATCGGCGCCAACGGCCTTTTTGCTGCCGTTCCGCATGCGGTGGAATTTGGGGGTTCGTTTTTTTTTTTGCACCTGGAGCATAAAGACTCTGAGTCAGGAGCGAAGAAGTTTCCTCTCTAAAAACAGTCTGTAGTTTTAGATGTTTCTGAATAATAGACAGAAATTAATAAATGAAATTCATTCTAATATTGTTGCTCAAAGTTATTCGCTCAAAGACCAAATTTCTAAGAGGGACTAAATCTCTCCTGACTGGGTAAACGTGATTGTAAAACAAGTAGAAAACTTTTATTCTGCATTAACTTGTGGATCACGAGTGGATTTAAATAATAAATTATTACAATCATGTCATCTCTTTCGATCACGGAGCCTTATATCTAAATTTCTCTTCTTTTACAGTATGTTGTTGTTTTGCAAGTACAGATATTCAAACTGTGTTGATTGATGATTAAAATCTTTTGTTCTTTCTCAGAGTTTTTGGGGCGTTTCATGAGGAGAGTCGACCATCATCTGCATAAAGCCGTATTTCTGTATTTGTGTCAAAGGTAATAGATTCTGGCCCCCTGCTGCATAAATTACCTTAACAATCCTCCAATTAAAACAGTTAACCCCTCTGATCTCCCTCTTCAAAGTGATCCGAGTATCAGCACCGCGCTGTGACGAACAGGTGGACTGGAAAGTTTCTGATTCAGCGACTGTTTACTCTCGGCGCTCCGGTGAGTATTAATAGTTTTAAATTACAACACGTCAGCCGAGGCTTCAATCACTGAACTGTGATAATTAACGGCCACTTCACTCAAACAGGAAACTGTACGATCTCATTTATTGAGTAAATGCATAAACAGGAACAAGAGAAAAAGTGCGAAAATAGATTCAGATTTTCGAGAGAGAGCAGCCGTGAGTCAGGTGGAGAGTTGAGAGTTGGAGGTTGGGGTCGATTCAGAGTACCCAGTGCCGAAGTGTCCTTGGGAAAAACACTGAACCCAGTCTGCCCAGTTCTTCTCAAATACATGTTGCTTTGTTATAATATTTACCTTTAACAGTCTTTAGCGGTCTAGCGGTTTAACGGTCATTAGAGACTATTAGAATAGTTTGAATTATAAATTATTATGTAAAATATCATATTTTTTAAAGATAAAGATTTTTACTAAAGTGAAGTTGTTGATATGAGTATGTAGATTAAATACGTCCTGAGTGTCTGGTTGCTCACGTTTCATTCGTCTAGCCTGGCTGGGTCATCCTGCTGCGTGAATCACTTGCCGTTCCTTAACACAACAGTCTGGACTTCGGCCCATTGGGAGCATATATTAGCGATAAGAAAATAACCGGGCCAATCAGAGACCGTGTTTCCACTGTTCCCCGGACAACAGTGAAAGGCAGCTCCTGATTGGTCCATGTGTAGATGGTGACGTCTAACACACACTGCGGGACTTTTCAAAGCGCCGTTCATTCAGAACGCCGTTAATTCAGCAGATGACTTTGCAAAGTCGGCAGAAATCGTTTAGATCCACAGAAGACATCGAAGACACGCAACAGGACGACCCAGCCAGGCTACACGAATGAAACGTGAGCAACACTCAGGACGTCTTTAATCTACATACTCATATCACCAACTTCACTTTAGTAAATCTTTATCTTTAAATGACTGTGGTGTGAAGGAACGGCAAGTGATTCACGCAGCAGGATGGCCCAGCCAGGCTATCATTTGGCCTCCTTTAGCTCTTACTTAAGGCCATGTTCACACACATATATATACACACATATATATATATATATATATATATATACATATATATATATATACATCTGTGCCGTCCACTGCCTGACATAAACAAGGGAGCGTAGTATATGACGTTTATCGATTTGTTGTCACAGACACTGAGGTTTGGGAACTTAACACTCTGGTTATCCACGTCCACACAAACACAAATCTGTTTTCTGAGTTTTCCAAAAGTACAGTTTTAATGACGTATTCATGCGACTTCGTGTGGATCATACAAAAATATATTTGTCATAGCAGATACGCGGCTATGTGTGTACATGGTCGAAGTCTCTCATGTGGGTATAAAAGCTGTTTGCACACCACCGGCCAGCAGGTGGCAGCAAACAGGCTCTGCCCCTTTAATTAAGAGAGAAGTCAGGAATGCAGTGTCTCTGTAAATCTAGTTACATCAATCAGAGGTTGATTGTTGAACTCATGGAGAAGATTTGAAGTTATGGAGAGTGTGAAATGCAGCAACTTTCTCTGTTTGATTTGAGATCTTTGCAGGAGAAGCCGAGAGTCAAAGAGCTCGGGTCTAATCATCATGGATTCAGGTTTTTTTTTAGAATACCTAAAGTTAATTAAACATACAGTGTGAGAGAGATGGTGTATGTAAATTTGAGTTTGCTCTCATCACGGCGAGTCGAATTAAGAAGAACTTTGATTTAATGAAATTGTGAAAAACTTTAAACCAATACTCGTCTGGTGATTCCTTTTCTCCTCCTGTTTAATATGATCTGTATAATTTTAAACCCATCAGGAACTAAATAAATTTAAATGTTAAAATTAAGCGAATAAACCGGAACAATGAGGTCCAGGAAGCAGATTACTACAGGGAATCGACTGTGAGAGTTTTTTCTTTTTTTTTGACTGTCATCTTCCTCTTATTACCTTTGCATTTATCACAGCCAGACAGACTGAATGAATATTGACTTTGCCTGGAATTAGAGCTTACAAAGCACAAAGTCTGGCCTATTCAAATACCGCTCCCTTGCAGATGCAGACTCATGAGCTCCGGCGAGTCCCCCTCCCAATAATTTAATTTCCCTCCTTCTTCTTCTTCTCCTCCTCGTGTCCTCGCTCCCCGACCCTCCCTTGTCTGTCGTGTGTTCTTCCCCGCTGTTCTCCCCCTCAGGATCTCCCACCATATGCCGCTCTCGCTTTCCTACTTTCAGCTTCTCTCTGCGATGGAATTAATATTTCACAGGCGGCTCCTCGGCCATTTTTCTTGCTGACGAATTGGAGGAGGAAAGAAAGTTTCCGACCAGCCACTGAACAATAAATATTAAAGTGTTTCTCTTGGAAAGCCTCCAATTGGGTGCTCCTTATGTACACCGTCAAACATGTGCTCTTATGCCATTTCTCTCCTTCCCTGTCTCGCTCTCCCTCCTTATGCATCCATCTCTCCCTCCCATCTCATCTGCTGCACCATCTGTGCAGCTGTAATAAGCAGCACTCCTCATACGCTCTCCTCTCCTCCCTTTGCTTTCTCTGCCCTCCTGATTCTGGCCTCCCCCTGCATCGTCGTTTGACTGACTTGTTTGCATCCCACGATGGAGCCGCCGCGCCGCCGCCGGGCTCGCTGTGCCGGGCTTTTGTCGTGCATTATGTCCCGCCACTTAACCAAACAGTGCTTTCTCCTTTCCATTAGAGCATGCATGTGATGATAACCTCACACGAGCTGGCTCTGAGGCGTATTCAAGAAGCGTGATCGCTCCCAATTACTCCCACAAAAACAAAACCCTCCCTCTCACAGTGCAGAGAGTGCAGCTGAAGATCTGTCAGGTCCTCCCAAACAGAAAAAACTATCGATCTGGGCCGGTCTTCACACTGACATCCCACCCGGCTGCATAATGGAAAAATCTGTGTGAAATATTGCGTGTGATTCTCTTGGATATGGTTCAAACGCAACAAGAGTGTGATTTCTGCTTTTCTTTAACCGTTTGGTAAGAGCTCTCTCTCCATCAGCAGGCCAGACGCTGTGCTGCTGCTTCTGTAAAAACACAAAGAATTAAATTTAATGCATGAAAGAGCTCTACCGCCTCACTGTGGCACGTCTGAGCAACAGACGTGAATGTTTCTGACAGGAGGAGGGATATGGAATAAGAAGAAAAACAGCCTCTGAGAGGTCGGACAGATGTACAAAATCTGGACTCTTTCCAGTTAAACAGATTAAAACTGAAGGATGTGAGAGAAAAAGAGGATCTCTATATTTGTCTATTAATATCTAATATCTCCTTCAGGCTGTACCACCATATACAGTGATCAAGATAACCGCCTTACTACAACATGGATCCGCTTAATCCTCCAATTAGTGCAGTTTAAGGATAATCAACTCTGGAAACACCAGATTTTACAGAATTAGTACAAAATCTTCTCGACTCCATGTTGAGTTTGTTCATGTGGGAGTCGAGGCTCCTAACCGTGAAAAACAGGTCCATACATGAGGCCAGAATCTCTCTTGACGGTATCATGGAGGAGAACGTCAGAAACGGCATAAACAAGGTGGATCTCTCTTCATCCGTTTCTCCTCTTTGAGATTCCTCTCAGCCTCCGGTTCGAGGGTTTCTGATCAGCTGAGACAGTATCACATTCTCACTCACTGATGGTTCATCCGTCCACTAGATTGGATTTTAAATTCTCCTCTTTAGCAGGAGAAACTCCATGAGAATGATTCCTCAAGAGTTATCGATTATGAAAAGCCAGTTGATATCTCCGGACAGCGCAGGATCAATATGACTAAGCTATCTCATATCTATCCGAATAATGCCTGCAGTTAGCCAATCCTTCCAGTTTAGAGGTCAAGGAGTTTCTGTGATTGTCAAACAGTTTAGCCGCTAAGCAAGAGACGAACCAGATCTATGTCATTTAGGTCTGGGTCATAATTAGGTAAATATCTCAGAGAGGAGAGGAGGCGTGATCCTTCAATGACTTATTGATCAGAGCTCGTTGTGTAAGACTCAGAGGAAGCCGTCTCTGACTCCGTGGATCTCCATCAGAGGACGGACGGGCAGCTTCCTTCACATCCTCACCGTGGGTCTTCACAGGCTGTGGGGATTATCCAGGCAGTGCAGAGCGAGTGCAGAGCGCGGCTCCTGCAGCGGGGCCTCAGCGGCACCGCGAGGACTCAGCGGATAATGAGCATCTTTGTGATGTGTGCTGCAGGGGCGAGTGAAGGCAGGGAACTGTAATGAAGCGCAGGCCTCTGCTGCAGCCACACAGGCACTCAGACACACAGATCCACCTCTATTGTTATCCTCCACTCCATTTCTGCTGCTGCTGCTGCTTGATGAGATTCCTCACATCATCCTGCATCCTTTTCTCAAGAGGGCGACTTTGAAACACGCCGTGTCCGTTTGAAAATATGGATGTAAACCTCAGTGTGACTGAAAAACTAGAGACTTGAAAATCAGGCAAATAAGTCACATACCTGCACACCTTTATTACCTGTGTGTACCAGGAAGTTCTCTTCATTCTGTTCATTAATAATCACTGCTGGAGATCCTGTTGTCTCAGTTTGCTGCTCCACAAGTAAGAACTCCCACCTATTCACACGCCACACATCGTATTTCTCACACATTTAAGTTACCGCGGTGACGTCCCCCGAGTTGCACCTTTTTTACAGTGGAACAGGTAGAATAGAATAGAATAGAATATTCCTTTATTGATCCCCCATGGGGGAAATTTTTTTGTCACAGCAGCATCACAGACAAGACAAAAAGTGCAAAAATGCAGTTATAACAATAAGGGTCCTAATGATAAGAACTTAAATAAATGTAATAATTAAGAAAAAAATTAGAAAAGGGAGAAGAAAAAAATAAAGCTTTCTACAATATACACAGGTAGGAATCAAGCGAGTTCCCTGCGAGTTCAGAGGCTGTGTGCCACCTGCAAGCCAATCAAATAAAGTAGCATTGTTGTATCCGGGTAGATTTTTGATATTTAGCCAAACTACAAAAGAAGACCCGATGATTACAAGTTAGTAACCCACAACTGTAGAGGCCTCAACATCTCATTGCATATAAACTCATATGATAAATTAAAGCTCTATTCTATTACTATTAACAGCTGTATTGACGGATTTAGCCTCTACAGCCATTTCCAGCCTTTTACCTCCACAAAAGCAGCGATTCCCTTAAAGTCCATCTGTTATTTTCTGATGCATTTCTCATATTCTTTTTAAGTTCTGATACTCATGACAGTGTAATGCTGATGTACCAAAGGATTAAGTATCTCCATGTTTGTGAAACCTATACTGAAGTACAACTGATCTCAATGCTCCACAGCCCTTATTTGAACAACTCTCCTCCTTTACATGAATTTATTACTTTATTCTCATAAGTAATCTCGAAAATTATAAACATGTTTTTTTTCTTAATGTGGCCCCTATAGTCTGTTGTATTTATTAGATCATTATACTAATACATTATCTTCAATCACTCTTCACTCTAACCCTATACCCTATACAATGAGATTTCCTATGTCACAAATCTAAGCTCCGCCCCCGGAGCCCCACTATGAAGGCCAGACTCTGAAAAGTAGACAGGACAATCGCGAAACATGTGTGTGCGTTAGCGGATTGTGAAGCTAATTATGATATTAACTTTCATCACGTCCCCAAAGACACAAGTGTCCGCGAGGAGTGTGCAGAGCAGCGCCCACGACTCAGAGGCAAATTACTAATGAGCTACTGGAGCTCTGCAGAAGGAAAGCCCCTCTCATCATTCGGTACTCGAGGAATCGTTTCAGCCCTGCCTGCCTGTGCTCTCTAATCTTCATGTTCTTAATTAATTGATTAATAGGAAAAACTCTCATTAAAACAACCCTTACTCTAAAGGTCGGTGACGACAACCAGGAAAATGGCCACTCCAGTGTGAGCTCAGGATCTGGGTCCAGAAGATCTCCTGTGATGAACTTCATGCTCTTGTGTAAAAATCATGAGGATTGGTCAGTCTGAGTGTTCCTCATGTCTCCACAGGACAGACTCTGTATATCTGAGAGGTCTGGACTGGACCCGATCAGAACAGAGCGATCTCTCCTGTCCTCCTACACTGTTCTGAAGTCTTCCTGGTCGAGATGTTTTCTAAGGTTCTCGCTCTGTGAGAAGGACTCCTATTATCTGGTGATTGTGGAGAAACCAACACGCTGATCCTCCTGAAGGTTTTATGTCTGCTGCACTTCACTTCATCCTCTGAGACTGTGTGTGTCTGCTGGACTCAGCCTGTGAAGCCCTCCTGGACTCACTCCGGTTCGTACGCTCCTGCTTGTTTGTATGCTGTGGCAGTTTTCTGGATGAGTGGTGACTACAAGACGCGCTGACCTTTATTTCCACAACAACGTGTAATGCACTTGTCAGAGCTGCTCTGTAATTCACGGACCGCCCATGAAACGTGCTCCTCAGAGAAACGTCCTCACATCTGTGTAATTAAAGGACTCGCACCGCGCACGCACACATGCACGCTCAAACTCAAACACGCTGTAGTTTCACCTCATCGCCACTTAACTGCCGGACAGCTCCCTCCTTCACTTTAAGGCTCGATCTCATTAAGCGAACACAACACATTTGTGCTAAATCGGCATAGTAATGTGAGAGTTATCAGAAGGAGCAGGTTGTGGTCGAGTTCCCGCCATCTGAAAACATAATGACTGCTGCTGCTAAACCGCTCTAAAGGCGGTGCGACGCTCGCTGCTGGGTGTCACACGTTCACGAGGGAGGTAAAGACACATAGATGGGGAATCACAATGATGCGTTACGGAGATGTGATCTTGGAGGTTGCACGGGCCGCTGCACCTATTGGCCTTTTGCCTATTTAAGTTGCAGAGTCAATCTGTTGTGTGCACTCATGCTAAGGAGAGAGAGGCGGCGAAATCCCAGCCAGACCTCATATCCTCGCAGCCAAGAGGGATGCAATTTCTTTTTAAGGAAGCAGATTTCTCATTACTTTTTTTTTTTAACAGCCATTTGAATATCTGTATAGACTTAATTTCATGCTTGACCTGCATGTCAGCAGAGATGTAAGCAGAAATGGGAAAAAGACAGAATGACTTGCCTGGAACAATCAGAAATGTCACCAAAAAAAAACGTCGACTTTACTTTGTCTCTGTTTGGATTAACGGGACGTCTGTGAAATATTTACTATGAAGTTTTTCTGCCTTTTGGCTTTTTTTTATTTTTCATCCTGTTGATGTTCAGACTGGATTAAAGGGAGATTACAAAACCAATAACTTTATATGTCTCCATCATAAAGATGTTAAAAAAGAAACTAGAATAATCTAAACTCAGTCTCTGTTATTATTCTGTTTCTATGGAGTCAGAGTCGTATTCCATTAAAGAGTCAGTGCTTCAGGGAATTCTGGGAAAATTGGCAGCATTGATATTCATAACTGAGGAGGAAATTATTTCATTGACATTGACTGAATCAGAAATGATCTAATATGATTTAATGTCGTCTTAAAGGTGCAGTACGTAAAAATGAGTATATCTAAAAGTCAATCAATGAAGTGAAGGTCAAGAAACCTCTGAGATACAGACTCAGTATGATCCTCCATGTGTCAGGATTTTACCATCATAGATATCCATTAATACTACAGCGGACACAATTAGGGCTGGGTGACATGGTCTTAAATCAATATCAGGATATATTGATCAGTTCACCTTGATAACAATAAATGGACGATAACTACTCCACAAGCTGCTCAGCCCCTCCCACATTAAATTCAGCCGCTCCAACTTCTGAACCGTCCTCCACTTCCTCCCCCGTCTTTCCCTCTTTGTTACAGACTGCAACCTAGCCAACCTACACACATCCAAAAACAACTTTGATTTATTTATTTTCTTTATACTGAATACACCGATTCTGGCAAAATGACGTCAGTTATTGCCGTAAATTTCAGTATTGGTAAATTTTTGATTTATCGCCCAGCCCTACAACAAATCACTATTGATGGACACCAGGAAAAGCTGGTCTAGACTCTGTTTACAGAGACCCAACGTAGAGATCAGACCTAGGCGTGTCCAGATACGATATTGATATCAAATATCGGTCAGAAAAAAATGTTGCAGCTGAGTGAAAAGCTCTTGACACAATTTTGAGCGAATATCGAATCAATATGGGTATCGTATCGGAAGTCTAACAGTTGTATCAGGATACCCCTAATCAGACCCACTCCCACTCCATCTTCAGAACTTCACAGAATTTATCGAGTTACAGCAGAGAGGAAGAACTTCCTTTAACAGGCAGAAACCTCGAGCAGAACCAGACTGATGTTAGACCGTCATCTGCTGAGACTGAGCTCAGGGTTTAGAGAGAGAGAGGAGAGACTGAAGAATGTTCTTGAAGCAGCTGGAAAACAGGTAGGTCTATCTATAATATCTCCTATAAGTGGGATATGCTTCATTTCAAAATAAAAGCCTTCTTTTTAGTAGAGGAAATAAGGCATACTAAGTAAGTAAGTAACTGTTTTCTCTCTTCCCTCTTTTGCGCATTTTTTACAGCGACTCTCTTAATACAGAAAAGTGAATGTTTCTTGTTTGTCCATTCAGAGCTGCTGTACAAACTCAGCGGTCTACTTCCTGTCGATTTCTATATCCAGGCGATTATTCACTCGTTTAACCGGACGTACAGATGTCATGTCCCGTCTCCACCTGCCGTACGCCGCTCAGTGTTCCTTTAAGTGTTATTTAATGGGCATTTGGCTCGTGCAGATAAGGAAGTAATAAATTCCTGCTCACTTTCGGCGCCGACTTAATTGAAAGTGCAACATTTGAGTCATAGTTTCAGCAGCTTTTCCAGCTGAAGGCTGAAGACTGAGATATTACATTTAAGATAAGCTCTGCGCTGATAATGAGCAGGAATCCATCCCCGTATTAAACTTGATATGAGTTTTGAAAACGTAGAGAAGCTTCATGAGTCATCAGACGTAACAAGAAGTGCAATGTTTGAATTATTTATGGCCTCCCCAGATATTTTATTTCTCATACGATTTTGTTTACAGATTGAGTTTGCATGCAAATCGACAGAGTAAAGGCGAGTGCAGGAATAAACCTTGAGATTAAATTAAGTATAAAACTGTTTGAAATGTCAGTTTAGTATCTGGCACAAGTTCATGCTGCAGCTTTGGATGTTAAAGATTATTTACCTCGGAGGAAAAATACTAAAATATTCATCCAAGGAACTCCGAGTCATCGTAAACGTTTCTTCTGAGTGATCACATGGGATTTAGAGGAACATCAAACCGTCTTAATATTTAAACATTTTGGTGGGATTTGAAAAGTCAGTCTGTGTTTGTCTGAGGTCTGGAGGGGGACAGGAGAGATTTAAGGCGGTGAAAACACGAAAAATAAATCCAGCCTCCAGTCAGGCTCTTTTGTCACCTCTGATTCAGTGGAGCATGCGGGCAGCTGAGATGACCAGAGGCGGCAAGAGGGAAGCAAACACGCGTCCGGTCCCTGAGGTCAGATTCGCACCGTAATGGTCCAGGAGCTGCAGGGCCACGCCGTTGGTCCAACCAAATCCCAGCTGAGAAAATAAATAATAAACAAAGTTAACACAGGAGCGACAGCCCAGAATAGTTTTTATTTTCTTAGTTCTGCAGCAAAGTCATAAAAAAATGTAAAAAGGTAAAGAAATAAAAAACAGCTTAAGAAGGAAGGAAATTAAAGCAAAAACAAGTCATAAAGTGACAAAGAAGTGAAGCGGAGTGGGAGTTTGTGTGCGTAGAAGCATGCAAATGTGTTCAAGTTCAGAAGCAGAAGAAGTCAAGTATTGAGAATCGACTCTGTTCTGCATGAAATTAGAAAGACGTCTGACTCTAAGCTCATTAGTTTTACACCCTCAACACACACGGAGGAAAATACCTGAACTTCATATTCCCCTCCACCGCCGGGTTTGCCGTCTCCTTCCACGTCGTACTGTCAGGAGGAGGAAAAACCACACATTCAGAGCCGCGTGTGTTATCGCCGCACAACACGAGCTGGAATCACGGCGACCTCGGAGGACTCACCTTTTCAAACATGGCGTCATACTTGGTGTACGCCAACCAGTTTGTCTTGATCCAACGCTGCGCCAAATCAAAAGCTAGCTCTTGAGCTTCCTCAGAGGGAAGTTTGGATAAACCTGAAAAGACGAGATGACTCCGATCATTCAACGAACCTGAGACGCTCTTTGAGGAAGCTGCAGGCAAAGGTATGAATTAATGACATGTTTGAACCGGTGTGTGGGCAGACTGAATTCAAAAGTAGGAAACACTCTGAGTTTACATAAGTCACACCAACGCTCAGTGTGTGTGTGTGTGTGTGTGTGTGTGTGTGTGTGTGTGTGTGTGTGTGTGTGTGTGTGTGTGTGTGGAAAGGTCACGGTTTCTTTAGTCTTTAAAGACTCTCCTGCTGGTTTTAAAAACACTGCAGATCCAACAGGAAGAAGAGAACATCTCTGCTGGATCAGTTTCTCTGCAGCACTTCCTGTCAAATTTAGGATCCTTCAGACCTACAGAGATCTTCAGGGTCAGGCCTGGACCAGAACTCCAGAGGGAGAGGTCACATTTATCTGTCACTGTGTCATTAACTTTGAATATAGGGCTGCATGATTTTGGCCAAAAATAAAATCCAGATTTTTTTCTCTGAAAATTGGATTGTCGATTTTTTATTCAGTGACAACTTCACCAAACTTCACTTTAATAAAAGTTTCTCTATCATCTCTCAAAACAAAACCACTGAAAACGATGTCGTGCATATACCAAGCCAGTAAGTGGCGCTGTAACGCTGCACAGGAAATGCACCAAAGACAGAAGAAGAGTACAGAGCATGTGTATAAAGGTTGTTTTGGCGCCATAAAAGAGTTACTCTGTGTGTCACATGATTGTTTCCAGAGATGCAGATAGACATCCACACGGAGATGAAATGGTCGTCGTTTACAGATTTATTCACTCTCTGACCCGTTTTCAAAAAGTACCGTTTACAGTCACCTGAAACGCCGATATGACAAAAAACTTTAGCGTTTCCTCCTGAATTAGTTTCCGTGGTGACGGGTTGATACCGCCTTCAGACAGACTTTACAGCGGGGAGTGGTTTACTCTTCATCTGAAACTGTGAAGTCGTACCAATTCCACACGACTGACTCTCTCTTGTTCTATTTAACCACGAAATTATCGCCTTCTTTTGCAAACGCCATGTTGTTTACACTGGTGTGTGTGGGAACTGGGCAGCCTATGGTGGCCTGGAGGCGCAAGAGACATGATAGAGAGGAAAATCGATTTGAGGATTTTAATTTTTTTAACATCATCAAAATCAAATAATTTGATTATGATTTAAAATCGATTAATCGTGCAGCCCTACATTGAGTCTTTGTTTGGTTCGTCTCTCTCTAAACCCAGCTCAGTCTCAGTCTAACATCAGTCTGGTTCTGCTCGAGGTTTCTGCCTGTTGAAGGAACTTCCTCTCTTCTCTTCACTGTAACCTGATAAATACTTAAAGCTGGGATCAGATTCAGTCTTTTCTTGATTTCGGCTCTTTGTAAATATAATAAAAGGTTTGAACTGGACAAGCTCTTTTTTTTTCAGCCTTCTGGGATAACGTTCGCTGTAAACTGGTGATAAATAGAAAAAAGATTGAAGAGATTAAAAGTTTATATTCAGCTCAGGAGTTTTTGTTGTTTATCAGGTAACTTGAAGATTTTAAACATGAAAACTTTATACATCTTTTGCTTGTTTCCCCTTTTGCTGTGTTTTAATAAGCGTAGACCATCCACACCCCGGCGCTGTGGTTCATGTTCCTGCCAACGCTGTCACACTTCTCTGCAGACTGACAGCTGAGGATAATGTGCTGAGAAATCAGAGGTGGCGTTTAAGGTGATTTAAAAACAAAGGCGAGCTCCTTAAATATTCTAAAAGAGGGTTTTTCATGTTGGTTAGACCCCCAAGGTTACACGTAACGCCGTTCAGCCCAATCCTGACAGATCTTTTGTTCGGTTTTAAAGGCTCCTTTAACGGCGCGGGTGTAAACACCCTCAAGATACACGTGAAGGTCAGGAGTTTAACCTGCTTTAATGCATCAAAAATTCATGAGCTGGAGTGCAGAGCGAAAGCAAGGCGATACTAAAAAGGGGGTGTGCAGTTTCAGGAACTAAATGTGGATCATGATGTGATTCATCAGAGCAGGTTTCAGGAAATCCACCACCCACCCTCGATGAGCATGTGCTGCAGAGGAGGCCACGCGTTGGGATAGTCCCACTGCTGCCCAGAGTTCCTCAGAGACGTGGGGACGCCGTTGGGGAACCGGAGAGCGCCGCTTTTCTGTGCAGACGTGAGAGAAAGAGCAAACAGAGGAGTGAGGAGTGAAGGGGGGACATCAGTGAAGGACGTGAGTGCCATCTGCTGGAGGAAAAGAAAACAGCTCCTAAAGCCCCCGCCTCCCCCCAAAAAAACAGCTTTCTCTGTGGGTTCAAGGATAATGAGCGACTATTTTTACTTCTTTCTGTTTTCATCACTAAAAGAGGTTTTGAGCAGATTTCAGACATGCTGTTTTTGTCTTTTTTTGAGCTGTTTACACTGAAATAAACAAGAATATATATTAAAAACGGTGTTGTGGCCTTTCTGTGGACAGACATCACGCTGTTCATGGTATTGGAGAAAAAAGCAGCACAAAAGCGTCGAACCGGAGCTAAGTGACCTTTGCAGATATGTTCCCATGTTTTTTACATGAGCGTCCTCCGTCTGCACTTTGGTTCGGCGGCTCAGATTTGGGACTTCACGTGTGTTTTAGAGTCCAGAGGAGAGCGGAGCAGCTGGGCTGATGTGAGCTGTCGTTTGGAGGAGCTGCTTCTGTCTGTCTGGCTCAGTGTGACCGTCTGCTCGGCCTAAAATAAAACTCTGACGTAGCCGCTGAGAGCGAGATTTGATTGGCTGTATCTGCATGAAGCCCCTATCTACACTGACAGATATCCCGCTGTGAAATTAATGCAAAACAAGAGGGTGCCATCTTTGAGTCAAATTAAATAAATCTCTGTCCTTTTAAGTTTTATTGTATTTATGCTTAGGCAGATAAAAACAAGCCTGTGAGCTGCAGGAGGAGAGATTTAACGGCTGTGCACAGCTGCTGACATGAACCAAAAACATCCTCCAGGTTTATCACCTCATTCAGATAACCGTGTTTATGATTACGACACAGAAACGACATAATCAAACTCTTCACGGTCACTTTATTTATCAGAGATTAATAATACTCGCCATGTCCTAATGTGTTTAAACATTACAAACAACAAACATGCATGTGATTAAAAATTGTAAAACTTCATTGTTTTGGACGTTATTGTCTGATCAGTCAGCTGTCTTCAATACTTGATTCTGATTGGTCAAAACCCTTTCAAAACATTTGTTATTTCTGAATCGTCAAGGCAACCGAATAACACACCTCACATCAAATCGATCATGCAAAAGAGTAAAGAAAACCGCTAACAACAACAACTGCTAACAGCTAACGACAGCTAACAGTTGTAAACAACAGCTAACAGCAGGCATCCATCTTGGTTTTCCGAAAGCTAATTATAATATTAACTTTCATCATGTCCCTAAAGACATTAGTGTCTGAGAGCTGAATAGCTCCTATGTTACCTGCTTCTTCTACTACACCGTCAATGTTAGGCTGTAAGTTAGCGTGAAGAGGAGTGTGCGGAGTGGCGCTGTCTCCGCCCACGGCTCTGAGGTGAATTGCTAATGAGCTACTGGAGCTCTGCAGGAGGAAAGTCCTTAAAAATGACACAGGTAACTTAAAAAAGGTTAAAAATAAAAAAAGATCGGAGTGGGACTTTAGGAACCGGGTGAAAGACATCAACCAAATTGAAGAAAACACATAAATTCCACCAGTGAAGGATTCAAAGAAGTTCTGCTGTTATTTCTCCATCAAACTGTTATCGGTCTCGGATCTTATTGGTCAACCTCCAGTTAAGATCCATGTTAATTCAACCTGCAAGAAGGCTGAGGAGAAAGTGCTGTTGCTATGGAAACAGTACCATCCATCATATCTAACCCCACACAAACACTCAGGGTCTATTATTTTGTACAACCATTAGCCAAACAGACATAACAGTTTTAAAGCTGGACGATCCACTTCATGGTTAATAAATAGTCCACTTAAACCGTTTTGACAGAGTGAGAAAAATCACTTTTTTAGTCTTTTTTCCACATTAATATGAAGTCAGAGGGATAAATCTTTCTCCTGCTCAGACTTAAACACACAGAGACACCAACTGTGGTTCTTCTGACGCTCATTTGTGTTTTTTATCTTCTTTTTTTTATCTTCTGTCTGAACCAAACGACTGAATCTGATCTTCACCCACCTTCAGATACTGTACAGCCTTCTCCGCCATCTCAGACCTGGAGTAACACTGAGCCCAGACAGGTGCCAGGTTGGACGGGTAGAACTGAACGTTACTGGAGTTTGTCTCCAGGTTGAAGTCGAACCAGGCTCCCCTCTCAGCATCCCACAGCACGGCCTCTATCGCCTGCAGTCTGCGGGCTGCAGCCTCCTCGTACCGCGCGGCTGAGTCACCATCACCTGTCGGCAAACAACACATCACCGTTATGTAACACCAGCGCGGAGCTAAAAGCGGAGCGCGGTCCAAAGTTAGCACCAAGGTCAGAGGCCGCTCCTGCACTCACCCAGGATGCTGTGAAACGAAGCCAGAGTTTTCTCGCAGAGGCACAGCAGAGCGTTGAGGTCAGTCGGCACGATGGCGCTGGTGCGAGTGGCGCCCAGGGTGCTGTTGTTGTTGTGGCCGTCACTGTCTATGTACCAGCGGGATGTAAAGTCCCAGCCAGACTCTGCACCCGCTTTCAGATCCATCCACAGCTGCTGCTTTTCCTCTGAGGCGAGAAACAGATCATGAATTCAGAAGAGCCACGACAGACCGGGATTCGCTCACTTATTCATGTCTGTTTTTCAGAAGGATGTGGATGAATCTACAATCAGGCCTCCGAATTCTCGGACGTCGCTCCTGCAGCATCTTAAAAACACTGAGAGGAGTTTTAACAGGTTCAAATAAAGAAGCTGAAACTGAGATTTTTGCCTCTTTATGACCTTCAGAAACAAACGAGACCAACAGCAACGAGGCCGAGAGTTTCTCTGTGGTTAATATTGACGCCTGAAACCGCCGTGAGCTGACAGCGAGCTGGAGAAACGGCCTTTTTTCTAAGACAGAAACATTTTACTGTGAAAGACAAAAAGACGAGTCAGGATCGGTTTGATTTATTTGGTTTCTGTCTTATCTTTGATTTGTTCACTTTTGTTCAAACTCTTCACTTCTTCATGTTTGCTTCTTTCTACACCATCAGACTCGCATCAAACAGCTGTTCCTGGTTTATCTCTGTGTACCGTGTCTGTCTCTTACAAACAGACCATAAGTCAATAAAGTTTGCAGACTCAGAGACGTCTGTTTGTGTATTTCTATGAATATTCTCTAAGATTAAGTATTTTATCACCTGTAACAGCAGCTTCTTAAGAACCTGCGGTCAGATAGTTCGTCTGTTTCACATTAAATATTCATAAAAACACTAAAGTCCAGCTGATCCTTGAATCCAGGGGAGTTTATTCTAATTTTCTGCTGAGAAGTAATTATGAATTTTCATTTTCTCTCCCTCTCTGTTATGTAATAAAAACGGACGTTTATGAGCAGGGTAATATTTCTCACGCTCATAAATATTCATGAACTCTAATAACCCCTCACCGTCGGAGAGTCCTTCGGCTAATTCCAGATCATCTGTGTACGATTCAGGCCTGATGGGAAAAAAGAGACGCGTTTATTTTAGGTGAAAGTTCACGTCACACTCAGATCTACGTTTGTCGGACAGGTGCAGCTCAAAAATTAACAAACTCCTGAAAAAAGTTTGTTTTTTCCCCCAAATTTAAATTCAAAAAGGGAAACTTTTATACTTCCTTGTCTATGTCTATGTCCCGATACAACTTTTTTACTTCTGATACGATACAGTATCAGCTGGTACGGATATCGATCCGATATTTACGAACTTGTGCCTGACAAGTTTTTCACTCAGCTGTAACGTCTTTTTCAGACTTTATCGAAAAATACTGCCTCAGGGCCGACATCACTCCTACTCCTTGCAACTTTTTTGTACCCTATGCTGCGTTCGAGTTTCCTCGGAAATCAGATGTCCGAGCTGAAAATGACGTCACACACCTGAGTTCCCAGTGTTTCAGTCACCAAGTCGGAAAAAAGCAAAATCGGATTCGGAAACAAGATGTTGGAGAAGGAAGAAGGTCCGCATATTTGTCCAGAAGTTACTTATATTCCGACAAGGCAAGCGCTAAAATAACATTCGTAGATGTAGCAATCTTGTTTACGATTTCGCTTTTTTCCGACTTCGCAACTGAAACTCTGGGAACTCGGGTGTGACGTCATTCCCAGCTTGTACATCTGACTTCTGAGGTAACTGGAACGCAGCATTAGTACACACTGTTGTTGTGATTACGTGGGCTCTGCATGGTAGAGGTGTCGGAGTTGAGTCTGGAATGGACTGCTGATATCGGAGATTTTAGATGCAGGTCAATATAATCCGATATTTGTTTATTGACTGATATCGGACCAATATCTGATATCTATATCGTATGGGGACAGCCCTAACATCCATCATTGTTAGTGGATTCCTCTGTTTTTGAGCTGCACCTGTATATGGACGGGGATGTTTCGGGCCTACCTGGGGAGGTCCACTTCCACATAATAGCGGTTCAGTTTGTACTCCGTCCCGTTGGCGCTCACAGCCACAGAGCGGTTCTGCATCCAGAACTGATACTCCCGCTCCAGAGGCGCTAAAGCTGCTCTGGATTGTGCAACAAAAACAATGAAATTCACACAGTTTTACATCCTTTTGAATTCTCACACAAACATGTCGGGGTGTTTGGAAAAACGGTCCACCAGAGAGGCCGAGAGAGAGACCGAGGCTTTTCCTCTGCAGCAGCAGCAAACGGACGGCTGAGGAATGATAATGTGTCTGACTTTGGCAGGACATGAGCTCAGACCTAAATATCACCTGAGGAACTCTTTATCCTTGGTGGCTTGATAGTAACTCTCCACCATTAGAGTGAGGAATGGAGGCTGACTTCTCCTCTCGTAGTAAATCCTGCCGCCGTTTGGAATAAAGCCATATCTGCAGGAGTGATCGAGGAGATCTTTTACTCTTCTGAAAGCTTCTTATGCACAATGAACGCAGAAGAATCAGAGCGGGACGGTTTTCTGTTGCGGTTCAGCTCACCTGTTGATGAGGTAGAGGAAGTTCTGAATCATCCCGTGGGCCGTCTGTGTCATCTCTGACAGCAGGAGCCCGTTGATGACCCAGTAGGAGTCCCTGTTGGAGAGAGAGAGAGCGGATCACATCACTCTCTCACCTCAGCGTGACATAATGAGGTTCATGAACAGACAGCTCAGAGACAGACGGGCTTCGTCACTCGCTCACCAATAGTAGAGCTCCCTGAAGCGACCCCCCGGCACAATCACAGGGTGAGGGGTGTAGATCTGCGAGTAGAGCTCCGGCTGATCTTTGACGTCGGAGCGGATCTGGAAGACAAATCTGGAGGATTTTAAAACACGGGAAACTACAAAAGGAGCTTCAGCAGAAAAGACGTGATGGTTAAATGAAGATCATTTTGACTCGTAAATTAATTACTGATGAAAAGCACAGATTTTAGAGTCATTAAAGTCGTATGCAGGGGCTTAGAAACAAAAAGTGATGAACTGACGTCTTCATAGGCAGTTTGGAGGTTTTGTGAAACTTCATTAAATCTTGTCTCATCTTTGCTCAATTAAAGATTTATAGTTGCCGTAGTTTGTCGTGTTTTTTTCAGTCTCATAATGTGCAAAATATTTTTAATCGATAAGTTGCAGGTCAATAAGAGAACCAGGACCCTTCTACTGCAGAGCCATGCTGTTGTCCTGCAGCATGCAAACCTGTACGCCATGTTCCACTACCATCAGACGACTATCTGAGTCTAGATTATCTCAAACACTAGAGGTGCTGAAAAAAGTGATTATTCAAACTCTCAGTAAACTGTTAAAACAGCAGATTAACTCTGTTTTTTCCAGCACCTTTCTTCCGAGGGATTTCCACAGCTGATGGATCTTCTCCGCCCACTTTCGTAGTTGCAGGTCTGCGATTCCTCCCAGGAACTTTGGGCTGCATGGATCAAAAACACGTAAACTCAGAACAAACGAAGATTAAAGTCAGATTTCAACAAGAGCAGCTCAAAAATCACTCCACTTATTTTAGATCTGCTGTGACTCTTTATGGAGACACAGATTTCCTGCCAACGGCGCCAAAACCACCAGAAACTGGTTTGCTGACTGTGCTTGATTGGCCACAGAAGAGGATTAGGGAAAAAAGGAGAGAAAAAATAAATTACAGGAGAGAGATTTTTTTAATTTCCATGTCAGGAATAAAGTCAAAATTTTTAAATAAAAAAAATTCAAATTTAAAAGAATAAAATTTAAATTTAGACTTTGATCTCTAAATTTTCATTGTTTTAACCTCAAAATTTTGACATTTTATAATCTTTTAATTTTGACTTTAATCTCAAAATTCATTTTTTATCTTGAAATTTCAACTTTGACATAATTTTAATTTTTTAAATCTTGAAATTTCCACTTAACTCTTGAAGTTTCAAGCTCAATCTTGAAATTAAACTCAAAATTTCGACTTAAATCTCCTTCCCTTAATTACTTTTTCTCTCTTCATGTGGCCCTAATGCTCCTTCATAGACCTGAACCCCTGTAGAGGATCTCTGGGGTACCATAAAGAGGAGGATGAGAGACACCAGACAAGACCTGAAGGAGCCATCAGAGCAAGACGGACTTCAGTAACACCCCTGATCTGGGCCCTGACCAAGAACTGAGAGCCTCCATCCCTGTTTTATGGATCCTTTATTTGAATTGGTGTTTTATGATATTCTGATATTCTGAGATGGTAAAGTTTTGATTCTCCTGAGCGAAGTGTTTTAGTTCTCACTTGTCGTGCCAGTCTGTTGGGATCCACTCCTCAAACTCCGTCCCCGGTTTCTCAAAGTACATATCGAGGAACTCCTGCAGTTTGGCAGGAGGGATGGTCCCAAATTCACTGGAGAGGTTTTGAAACGCGGACAGAACGACATCTGCAGGAGGGGAAACACACCATCAGAAAAACAAAGTTCCCACCTAAAGGGGGAAATGTGATTCTGGGACTTTGGACTCACCAGGACTTTCTCTCAGCTTCATGTCAACAAACTCTTTGTCATCATCAAACAGCCGGGCTTTCTGCACCTGGTGCAGGATGGGCCCAGTGCAGTAAATCTGACTGAAACATATTTAGAGAGTTGTAAATTATTAATCAGACGACGAGGTAAAAGGCTGTTTGTGTAACAGGCCAACAAACATGTCCTGTTACAGAGGAAAGCAATAAAACCATGTTAATTTCACTGGACTGAGAAAGAGAGGGTAAAGGTCTGCTGACAGAGACACTTATATAGTGAAAAAATCTGTTTTTAAGCTTCTGTAGGAGGACAAATTCAACATTTACAGAGACGCTTTCTTTCAGGACCCCTTCAGCAGAGCTGTCAGAGCGCCGTTTGTTGGACAAAGTTCATAACGGTACACAGGGAAGAAGAAAAAGCAGAAAACCCTCCAAACTTTAACACTTTCACAAACATGAATCTCACCTGTCACATGGTGGAGGAAGAGCGCTCTGAACACGGGCGAAAAAAGCCACCGAAACACAGAACAGCACCAGCTTCTGCATCCTGAGCCGAACTAGAGGGGACAGCCGAGTCTGGTTCCACCTGTGGTCTGAGAGCCGCCCCCGGGTCAGAGTTTAAGACCGAAGGTGAGGACTAAAGAGCAGCGACACACCGACACTCAGCTCTGACAGAAACACGTCACAGCGCACGGCCGTAAATAACAGACTCCACACAAAGGGTTAAATTTCAGCGAGCTTTATTTTCAACAAAACTTCCAATCATCTCCATCGTACTGATGACATCCTCTTCAACTGAACTCCACCGTAAAATTCGCTCCACTGAAAAAAATCTGCCAATTAAATAACGACCAAATTTCTCATCAAATAAAAAGAAAATGAACTCAGGTTGGAAATTCTTCTTCTTCACTTAAATTTGGAGACGTTTGAAACGAGGTTCTCCACTTGAACATTTCATCTGAAAGAAAACTGAAATCCTAATTTAAGGGACACTTTTCCAAACTTCTTTTTTTTTTGGACCCTTTTCCACAACTTTGGTTCCTCAGATATTTATTTTTTCCCTCCCCACCTCCGTTTATCTGATGCACACATGAAACCTACTAGAGGACTTCACTCACACCCTCCTCGATGACGCCGCAGCAGAGCGGCCGAAACGTCCAAAAGGTGTTAAATTTGGACTTTGGTATCGAGAGGATGAGCGTGTGCATCAGGGCAGCGAAACCAGCGAATCACCCTCCCCGTTAAATTTAAAAAAACACCTTAAAGAGTGAGACAATTTTTTTAATCACAGAAACAATCCAATCATTGACCCAATCTGGAGGAAGATGCTCTTGTCTCAGTCTTTAAGGTTCTCAAGATGTCCGCCGTGGGCAGTGAGGCAGCGTCCCACCGAAGGAGGGACTGATCCACGTGATGTTGAAGGATCGGCTGCTGATTCCTGCCACCAGGCTGACACCCGACAGACAGACAGCTGCCAAGTGTCTGTAAAGTCTGATCCCCGTTCTCTCAGCTGACGCTCAGATTAATTTAGAGTTTATTAACAAATACACCCCCCCACCCCACCCCCAACCCAAAACAATGAGCCGAATCAGACGAGCGAGTATAAAGGGGACGATCATGGAGCTGAGAGAAGAGGGATCAGAGTCCTAAACCATGAGAAATAAAAGGAGAAGCTTCAACAAATCAGCATTTTTTTCACAGCGGTATCATAAATTAGACTTCTCATTGGTCAGGACGGTCGAGAGCATCTAACCAGAACAAGGGGAACCTCATTTGCAGAAAGGTTTCAGATCTGCAAACAAGCGCTCTGAAGACCTTTATGCAAATTTAAGGTTTTGATGTTGCACAAAAATGCAAAAATGCAAAAAGGTAAACCCAAACCCGCGGCGGTATCAAAGTAAACAGGGCAGAGAAGTGAAGCCATAAACTCAGCAGCAGCCTGAGGCGCTCAGGTCAGTTTCTAACAAGCAGTCCGGCTGATAGTCTTTGTGAAATCCTTCATGCCCACCCCCCCTCCGTGCCAATTCTTGGTTTTAGTTTTCATGTTCGGTACCACCTCACACTTCTCCTCACTCAGCACGAGTGTACAAAAAGCAGTGCAGTCAGTGTTATTGCCTGAACCCATCTCTGTGTCGAAGTGCAGCCCAACCTGCTGGGGTTGTTTTCTTTTTTTTCTTGGCTGGTCTCAGAGGTCCAGCTTTGCACAGAGAATGAATTCCTGCTACATTTTAGGTCAGATGGTTCGTTTTTGATGCATTCGGCCGACATTCTTCTAACGGGGGTAAATAAATCCACAACTCTGTCTGACTCAACGTTTGTGAAATAATGTAGCTGTGCTTATTACAGAGCACAAAGAACTACGTAACAGCTAATACCTCCCCCAGAAAAACTAATTCTCTGCCAATTCAGCTGCACTGCAGCGAGTAGTACTACTACACGATATAATATTGTCCTCTTCTCTCGACACTCGCTCAAACTGGAGATCTCAGCGAGTGTCTGAAGAGTCAGGTTCACAAGTTAAGGCTGGTGACAACAAAGAATTCATTACTCAAATGCACAAGCTTATCAAAGCCATCCGTTAACACTGGGAGCGAGAGAAAAAGGGCGGCGGCGGCGTCACGTCTCACTTTAAGTGCAGCTTTAAAGAATCGCACTCGCCTTTGAATTTCGAGGGGCTAAAAGACGGTCAGTGATGGACCAGGCCTCCAAAAGAACATTTCATGCACAAGGTCGTATCAATGTTTTCGATTCTAGTAACTTCTGCAGTTTCTAAAATTATAAATAAATTCACAGGCCAATGTTGCAGGTCAAACAAACTGGCGGTTAAAGAAAGTCTCCAGTGCTAACAAGGGGGGAAAAAGCTCTTCAGTTTGTCAGCCAGCCTTTTGAACTTGTTTAAAACAATCTTAAAATGAAGGTATTTACACAAGATGGGAGGTGCGCCCCACATGTCGGCTGCACATCTCAGAGATATTAGTATGGCCATCCATAGGAAGGTGAAACACAGGACGTCAAAGAAAAACGGCGATCCCTACGATCAACTCCACCGAAACAGGAATCCTCATGGTGACTCATGGTGTTGACGGGCTGCTCGTTCGTTTTAGTGTTGTGATGCTGAAGACAGAGGAAAGGGTCTGGGTCTTTTAGAAGCACGAGCTTCTTTACAAGCAGCTGGACTGTCTGGCTGTCTCTTGGGAAAAATCCAGCATCTCTGTCCATGGAAAAATCCAAGTTAGTCCTCCTTGTTTTGTTTTTTGTTTTTTTTTCCAGCCAGACTCGAGTGCAGCGAAGCCAGCAGAGGATCACTCAGACCGGTCTCCCTCCTAAACGACCTCCATTCCCTTCAAACAGATGATCCAACCAAAAGCTGTAATGAATTCACCTCCTCCCTCCGTCAGACTTTAGTGTGACAACGTTTCCATCAGCTGAGAGTGAAAGTGTGTGTGTGGTACAAGGTGAGCGAGACGATGGCGGATAATAATGGAGGGTTATTACTTTAGAACGAGTTGAACTGCTTGTTAAGGCACTTGATACAAATTGGTTAAAACTTCCAAAATAAAAAAGTGGAGAATGGAGGGACGACGTGTCGCGGCGGTCTGTTGGTGCTGGCTTTGTGTCATAGGTGGATATGAAGAGTCACACAATGTGCATCGATGCTTTTTAACTTGGTCCCATGCTTTCCTCAGGGTGCTTATGTCTTCAGGGTGGTGGTGGCGGCGGCGGTGGCGGCGGCGGTGCAGCAGCACAGAGCCCAATAAAAAGGCCAATGAGTTCTTCCCAAAACACGTCCATCAAAATACACATTCCTCACGGTGGCATCCGAAAAAGAAAGACAGACAGAAACTGTACATAAAAAAGGAAGTCCGAGACGGTGGGGCGGGGCGGGGGGTGAAAAAAGGTACAAAGGGGGTGATGGAGGATGGACTGATCTGTGGGGAGAGAGGGGAGAAGAGAAGTTAGGCTGGAGGAGAGAATATTCAAGGTACAACTTCAGCAAAACTTCAGATTAAAACTGTTGGGATGAACAATCTCTGGATATATACATTTTGAATTTCACTTTTATATTTATATTTTTTATATTATATATTATTATTATTATAATATTATTTATTTATTATATTTCTATTTTTTATATTTATATATTTATATATTATTATATTATTTATTAATTATATATTTTTTATTTATATTTACATTTTTATATTTATATTTTTTAATGTGAGGATTATTGAGCCTCGAGTTTCTTTTAACTGCATCTGTAATTTAACTCAACATTGTTGTAAAATGAAGAATAACCCTCCAATGATCTTGACAATAAATCAAAGTATGATCTCTGCTCCTACACTTCCATATGTTTAGAATTAGAGACACTTTAAAACTTCAGTTTAATCCTCCTGAAGTGACCCTGATATTGTGTTGACCTTGTCTGTGGACTTACTGGCTCATGGCTTGACCTCTTCACCACTCTCGCTGTGGTATTCTGCCACATAGAGGCTCTTGTCGATGATGCCAGGGATCGGTTTGATCTCTGTCCCCAGCTGTTCCTCGATCCCTTTCAGGTTGAAGCGATCGTCATAAGTGATGAGGTTGATGGCGAGACCCAAGTGTCCGAAGCGGCCTGGATATGGAAGGATTGGAGTTTGAGTTTTTGTTCTATCAGAGCTTTCTGTGTAAAATTATATACATATATTTTCTACAGTAGACTCTTACCGGATCTGCCAATGCGATGAAGGTATGTTTCTCCCAGCTTGGGAAAGTCAAAGTTGATCACAACATTCACAGCTTGAATGTCAATTCCTCTCGTGAAGAGGTCTGGAAGAAACGCAGAGAGCAGGAGTGTTAGGGGTCCTGATTTAAACCTGCATGTTTTCACACAATAATAAAAGGATTCTGGACACACCTCTGAAACACGTCTATGAACATTTTTCTATACATGCGTTCACTCATATATCAAGAATGTCCGTTAACTTCACTGCTTAAGATCCTGACATGAAAAAAAAGCTCTAATTCTGAATGCCAGGGCCGAGAACTTTGGTGTCATGTAACACAAATCTATTGTGGTCCACCTTTGGCTTCGACAGCGCGCTCTGGCTGACCAGCATTATCAAAATGTTTTCATGGTTTCATAATCAGCTCAGTCATTTCATTGGTATTGTTTTCTGTCTGCACGGCTATGAATGCGTTACTGTTTTATGTTCATGTGCCGCCAAAGTGCTGGAAGCTCTTTGTCTTTCAGTCACTGCGCCTCGTAGATTCTTGTTTCTGTTGATGCTGGCGGTGCAAAGGTTTCTCTGAGCCGAACCGCTTCAGTGCTGCGGCGCAAATGTGTACCGAGCCGAAATGTGCAGAAGTCATTAAATCTGAGTTCTTGCACGTCCACAACTCTCATCAGCATTAAAGTTGTGCATTTTTTCAAGTTTAGAGCTCGAACATCAGTCAGAGAAACTGTCAGTGACTCTTAGAAAGAAAAATGAGCTCCAGAAATATTAATTTTAATTTGAAGATATTTTAGTTGAAGTAGTTTTCAATTTTCACATTATTTTTGTTTCTTCTAAAATGTCACAGAACATTTAATCATCTCTGCTGATCTTTTACAGTCCTGTGAATAATTAAGGAAAAGAGATTCTTTATGTTGAGTTTTTTTCTCTTACTTTACTGTAAATTAACTTTAAAACTCCAGGTCTGTATTAACCTCTGATTTAAATTATACTCATAGAGCTGTGATTTGGTTTCCACACATATTGTACTGACTGAAGCGCTCACACAGACATGATGGCCTCTGCAGTTCTTCAGTGTGAACACAGTGATGGACGTGAGCCCAGTACCTGTTTATAGTCCGTTCACTTTTCTAAACTTGCAAAACAAACCTGGGCGGACGTCCAGTAACAGAATAATTATCAATACAGCTGAGCCGCATGCATCGCTGGCTCTAAATCGACGGTGTCAGCTAAAGCAGTATTAAAACCTCCACCAGCTGCAACATGACCCTGGAGCTTACCAGTGCAGACCAGATTCCTGCAGAGGCCGTTTCTGAAGTCGTGGAACACGCGGTTACGGTGCTCCTGCAGTGGAGAAAAGAGAGCGTTAAAAAGACGACCTTCACTCATATGTAGACCTTTACTTCAGGAATAAGCAGACTGAGTTTGATTTTGTGTTTTATTTGTTATGCAGCTTCAATGTGACTCAACTTTAACACAATGAAAAAGCCTGTAAACACCGGGGTCACTGAGTACACACATCCAGAAATGAAGAGCAGCAGCCAATCAACAAACACAAATAACTACACATGCTGTGTGTGCACTGTTGTGTGTTACCTGTGCACACACAGATCACAGTTAACACACAACAGTGGAGCGCAGCAGCAGCAGCAGCAGTTCAGGCATGCTCCCATCATCAGTGTTTATTCTGCTTTTATTTCTGAGCGATGACTCGGAGCTGACCTGTCTCATCTTGGCGTGAATGTAGAAACACGAATAACCAAGCTGGGAGATCTTCTTGGCAAGGAGCTCCACTCTCTGAGAGGAGTTGCAGAAAATTATGGACTGGTTTATCTGGAGCTGAAAGAGACGAGACAAAACGGTAAATTTGGGCTGAATAAACGTTCGCACCGTGAGGTTTCAGGGCCGCTCTCACAGCTCAACAATGAAAATATCTGAAAATGTTGGATTATCCATCAGTATCTGACACCGGTTCATTAAACTGTCATTTGCATTAAACGCCTCTCCAGTCAAGTGTGTCTCCTACATTAAAGTTCTCATGACACCAGTGAAGCTAATCAAAAGTCCAGAAAAGGAAATACCTACCCTGGAGAACAAGGTGTTTAGGCAATGAACTTTTTGCCTTTCGGTTACATAAGCATAATACTGAGTCACACCCTTCAGTGTCAGCTCCTCCATCAGGTTGATCTCGTACGGTTTCTGCAAGTGTGAGTTCTGCGGAGGTGAAGACAGGAGCAGTTAAACAGGCCGGTCTGTTAAGCAGCCGATAAAAAATAAACGTTTTTAAAAATGAGGAGGATGTACCATGAACTTCTGTACGCTGAGGGGGAAGGTTGCAGAGTAAAGCAGAATCTGCCTCTGTTTGGCCAGGAAGCCCAGGATCTCCTCCATCATCACCACAAAGTCCTGAGACAGGAGCTTGTCCGCCTGTGGAGCAGAGGGACGACGCTTAGAGCTGACAGAGGCTCAGATGGTTCTACTGATGTCAGACTGATTCATTATAAATCTGTGTGTCGGGTTAAAGGAATAAAAACTGATGGACTCACTTCATCCAAAACAATCATCTGCACTTGATTGACTTTGGCGACTCCTTTTTTGATGAGGTCTAAAATCCTCCCAGGAGTTGCAATGACCACATGTACTGTGAAAAACACCAAACATATCAAAGTCTGTACGTCTGAAAGCCTTCTTCTCACACAAACATCTGACCTGATTGTTTTAACATCATTTCACTTTCGTTTCGTTGAACTCCAATCGCCACATTCCCTCCATATTTACCTGTTTCATCGAGTCTCATGATGTCGTCACGGAGGTTGGTTCCACCTGTGGTTGCCATTACCTTCACTCCTCCCATGTGTTTGCTGACCTGGATACATATTTGGCTGACTTGCAGAGCCAGTTCTCTGGTAGGTACTATGACCAACGCTGAAGAGAAGATAAACAACCGTGTTTACAATCTTCACGTAGACCAAACAAGAGTCTGTCTAGTCTTAGTTTGGACACTACAATCCTGTCACAACAGCCTTCGGTCGTTTGGGAGCTGGTTCAACCCCCACCTAAACTCCCTCTTTAGGTTTTGCACATGCATTCAAGGAAAATAGGTAAATAATGAGCTAAGGGCGAGTCTGAAAATGAGGAGCAGGAAGTGGATGTGTCTGTGTCCAACAACTATCAGTGCCATATTGAGCTCAACTACAACCGTCTGCTCCTAATATAGTATATTTTGTTTTTATCTGATCAGAGCAGGATGTAAACTGTCGTAGGAGACTAGCTGTCTCACCTTGTATGCAGTCCTTCTTCAGGTCAATGCGTTCAAGTAAGGGAATGAGGTAGGCTCCACTCTTTCCCGTGCCATTCTTGGCTCTGGCCAGGATATCCCTCCCTGACAGTGCAATGGGAATACTCTCCTCCTGTGTGAAAGCAGAAACATCAGATTTACACGCCGCACCACTTCACTGATGTCGTTACTAGCAGTCAAACAGAAAGATTTGGAGCACAGCTGCTGCAACACAAACTTCAGACAGTAGATTTGAACATTTGACTCCATCTAAGTGACGCAAAGAGTGACTGAACAGCTGCGCTCCAGCCTTCATGATGCTATTAACATTACCATAATGATATCATGATAATGTTAAATGCAAAATTTTATGCACTACTTGTTAACATTTTGAATTCCATATTCAACAAATAACACAAAAGGACAGTAAAGGTTGATGGAGCTGTTAAGGACCTGCATTCACAGTTTTCTCTCTTTACTTTATCTTGTTTTTATTTGGTGCTACACTTCAGTTTGACAAGAGACCAGATTAAGTCCTGGTCCTGTCAGTTAGATCCTTCATCCATCAACTTAACACCTTTTTCCATCCACGAAACTTTAACTTTAAATCAGACATCTGAAACCACCTTTCTATCTACTGACATCCTGATCATGGAACCAAAAATGGAAACTGAAAGTTTATCTATTAAAAAAGAGAAAAACATTATGCCAAAAGCATCAAAACCACCAAGGACTTTATATAGACCACACTTTACAATGAAAACATGACTCATTTTAATCCTGCTGGGCTGAGATTGTTCTGTACCTGAATTGGAGATGGCTTTTCCCAGCCCATCTCAAAGATTCCCATGAGCAGCTCCCTCTTTAGGCAATAATCTTCAAACTCATTGCCTTTAGTTGCAGTCACATCCTGTAATCATAAATAAAAAAAAAAACATTGATTGGTATTTATTTTACTAGATGTGAAGGAAAGAGCAGATCAAGCAGTAAATTATGACAAAAATTACAGCTAAAAAAAAATCCCATCTGACATTTGAATCTGTAAATATGAGCTACAGCATATCTCATCAGTAGCTAGGATGGAAAAGTAGCCAAACACAGAATTTGCTAGAAGAGCACTGACATCTATTGTGAAGTAAATGGATGAGAGTGTGAGGAAAAAGTGGAGCAAAAGAACAAGAAAAGCTGTCATCCTTTATTTCCACAAACAATGAATGATTATCAGCTCAAGAACCAACCGAAGTTTTGATCCTCATGTCTTTTGGGGGCAATTTCAGGTTTTTCTTCCAGTCATCTCCAGGCCTGTGGGAGACAAGTCATCGAGAATGGTCTGTGTTAGTGTAGAGACACAGATCTGTCCTGCTAAATGTCACTGCACCTTCAAAATTTCTGGATATTCAGTTTCCGATCACTTACTTGATAACAGCATTTGTTGTAGGAGCGGGCTGGGAGTTGCCATTGTTAATTGCTCCTTTCAGCTGATTAAGCGGCTGCTGTTGAGGGCCTCCTCCTCCGCCTCCTCCTCCACCCCCTCCACCTGGTGCTCCTGCGGGCTTCACCGAACCCCTCAGCTGTCCGTTCTGGTTTGACAAACCCAGAATCACCGGGTTCTCTGTTCTGACGGTGCTCATGTTGACTTAAGCTTGACTTTTCTGTTCCAATAGTAACGAAATCCTTGATCGTCTCAACATAAAGTGAGTCCACTCTCCCCGGGACACCTCAAACGCTTGATTGTCCTCTCTTGAGACTATAAAGTTAAAATGTTGATGGTTCAAATCTCTTGTCTCTGCAGGTTCCTCAATAGATTCTCAGATCTGGGACATCAGGTGTCAAAAAAAGAGCTGTTTATCTCTATATCAGTTTTGTTTAATCGTCTAATTGTGTTATTCTTCAGTTATTTAGGGCCAAGCATAAGTGCTGATTTCCACAGTTTTCTAGAAAACCATTCACCAGGAGGGCTTAGCCAGCTATCAAGTATTGGCTGACTGTTTAGCTAGCCATCTTGTTTAGCTGTGCTGCGCCGCTGCGTCCTTTTCTGAGTCTCTCCAAACCCTGAAAAAACACCACACAGGATTAGAAAAGCATTCATAAACACAAAAGATACAAACATGATAGCATTAGAGCAGAAGTAAACATAAGGTCATATTTGAAGTATATTTGATGTGAAAGTCCAAACGTAGATGAGTGGCCCTCCATCCAAAGTTAGCCGACCTACGCACAGATATTTAACTCGGTTTAACGGCCGAATAAAAATAAAAGTCACTTTAATTTGGAGAAGGCATGTGGGAAATCCTAATGCATAAAAACTACATTATATTTGCTCTTCTGCTTCTTAAATCCATCAAAGTTAAATGAGCTTCAGTAGCGTTTGCTGCCCAACTGCCGCATCGAGCTAACAAGCGCACGTAGATGTAGCTTCATGCTAAATCTGTTCTGTGTACGTAATCACCAATAACACCCGATTCAGACATTTTAACGCGCTCTGTTTTCTTATAAGAGTACATTTTTAAACAATCTAACATATCCATAAATTGATGTTTGACACAAAAACCGAAATATCCACCGTTTAAAACGTTAAAAAAAACCGTCGCTACGCTAACCCCGGACTGCGTGCTAACATGACAGCGAGCTAGCATGAAGCAGGTAACCGACGGAGGAGTCAACATTCAGAACAAACACCGACACAAAGTCATTAAATACACACTTAAAACAGACAACAGAACAGGTAGAAGGTGTTCAGGTCCGTGTGCTTTTACCTGGATTCCCTGAAATGAGCGGTTCTCTCTGCGCTGTTTGTCAGTGTTGTCGATTTTTTAGCTGACTACGAAAAGAGTCATGTCAACCAACCGTTCAAGATGGCTTCCAGTCGTATTTGAACCCGCCCCCCGTCCAAAGAATCAGCTGATTTCATTTCAAATCAGCGATTAAACCGACAAACAAGAGGCCTAAAAAATACATGAAATTATTAACCAATAAACCCAACCAAACTCTGTTAATCTGTCCTGTTAGTGATCTCTAAAACATCGGTCTAACATCTGAACATGAGTCCACTTTCCCTGTTTTTTATTGACTCTCTGAAACAGAACCATAAATAACTGTAGGGCTGAGCGGTTCGGTCAAAAAACTACTATTGATTTTAACATTTAACCCCAGAACACTTTCACTAAGATTAGAAACACCATCACTATTTTAAAAACTCACTTTTACAGACTAACTTTCATGTGATGCTGTCTGTTTTCTCTCTCTTTTACCTATTTCTTATTTTGACTTACTGTCCATTTAGCCTTCGTTTTACTCATAATCTTTTCTTATTTAACTTTTTAGGCCTTTTTATTGATTTTATTGTTCTTTTCCTGCTCATTTTTGTAATTCCATTCCATCTTTTTATATTTACCATCCTGTTTCCTGCTTCCTACCCCCCTATTTTTACATTTCTTTTTCTGACCTATTTGATGTTTTTATTTTGGTCCCCATGGCCTCATTTTATGTTGCATGGTTCTTGTATTGTCTTGGTTTCTTATGACGTATGAAATTGTCCTTCAGTTTAGAGGCCTTGTTTTTAACTGAGCTTTTGTATTTTATTTCCATGTGCTGATGCTTTGCATCTGTTGTCAAAGCACTTAGTAAACTTCTGTTTTTAAAAGTGTTATAAAAAAATAAAGTTATTGGTAGTATTATTACTATCGCCGGGTGATTTTTACCCAAAATAAAATACCCAAGAAAAAGTACTCATCATCAAAATCTATCAAAATAGCACAACAGATGGATTTCTTTTTTACAAACTATACTAGGATGCTGTATTGTTTTCAAGTTCTCCCTGACACAATTGTAATAAAATGTCATTTATCGAAAAATTTCTTTGTCTTCATTGCATCACAAATAAATAAATAAATAAATAAATAAACATTTGCTGAAATGTCCATAAATTTCACTCAGCTTACCAGGTTGTGACGCTGGTTTGGATGTTACATTGTTTTGGATCCGTGACACTCAGACAAAAGCAACATCATGAAAATCACGTAAACATGTTTGGTCTGGTGGAAATCACCCAATGATAGGGCTGTAGGGCTCAGTGGTTCGGTCGAAAAACTACTGAGCAATTATTCTGGCAAAGGCCTAATGATTTTAACATTGAATGTAAGAGTGGCTGATTAAATTCTGACACTCTTGGTTCTGTTCAAAATATCAGTTAATTATTACAACTTAAGAGCAACATTTAAGTTGATCCAAACAAAGAAACTTTTAACTTTTATGTTTCTTGAACCCAACCAAAAAGCTCCTTTACCGCAGATTTCTGCAGACCGGCCTTTGGCTCAGGGCTTCGACAGTTCCTTGAGGTTGAAATCAGGCAGATGGTTGACAAACCAAGCACAGTAACTTCATATTTAACAAACCACTTGGTTGTAATTCTGGCACTCTGGGCAGGTCTTGCAAGAAAAGAGAAGTGGTATCTCCACGAAGCTCATTAGAAGAGCTCTGAAATTCACTCACAAATAAGTTGTTTTTATCATTTCACTTTTGTTGTTACACTGGCTGTGTACTTCATTTAACATGTTTAATCACTGTGGAGGCAAACAGACAATTACGACTATGTGTTGTTGTTTTTTTTTTACACAGTTTTAAATTTCCAACACTTCAACACTAAAACTAAGAAACTGTTCAAATCTGACAAATTCATCTCCTAATTAATTTACTTTTGCCTATCAAAAGTGAGATATTTTAGTGAGCAGTTACATGTACTCACAACACAGCTCACAAAACTTGACGTGAAGCTTGTGGAGATTTTGACTCGACGTTTTGACGTGTCCTAAAAAGAAATCAGCAAAACAAATAAAGAACAAGCACAAGGAGGAAGTACAGGCACATCTCACTCAAGCAGAGACAGATGTACATGAAGGAGATTGAGATTTACCCTCATGGCTGTTACAGAAATCTTTACAACTCTTGAGGTAAGACGCAATAAAAATATGAGGTGAATTCTCATATTTCTCATTTATTTTTAAGATGTTTTACAAAAGGTTTTTCTAGAAATGTCTTTCGTCGTGTTTGCGATCAACTTTTTGGTCCAAATTTGATTTTAGATATTTAAGTGTTGGATGTCTGTATGTTTTTTTTTTTTTCTGAGATCAGATGTGCAGCAGCTTCAGTTTGACTTTGATTTAATTTGTATTTAAATGTCAATTAAAGAATGATTTCCTGTGGGTTTAATCTGCCCTTTAAGACCGTGTGGCATAAATATTTCACATTTTTAAACCTCAGCAGCTGCAGCTAATTGAGGGGTAGAGTTCTTAATTTAACAGTCAGAACTTAAAATTAAGATGAAGATTTTTTTAATGCACGAATTATGAAAAACACCTCAGAAATAAACTATTTCATGCTCAGTCTGCCGTGAAAATGCACAAAACCAGATGTGGTTTATGCCAATGTGTGTCTATCGCCTCTTCCTGCAAACTCACCAGGGAGTAAAGAGACACCTTCACTGCTCGACACACTTCATTTGTTTACCATGAGAGGAAATGATTGTGGGTCATATAAATATCAGTCAGATCTGCCTTTTTTTAATAGGTAAATCCTCCAAAATCTGTTGTTTTTATTATTGTTGTTAGCTTTTTGGTGTCACTATAAAAAAACAATTAAATTTAATGACTGTTTTTGTGTAACATCTTTAAAAGTAGGTTCTTTGACATTAAAACACAACAACAAAAACATCATGTTGGTTAATCTGGTGCTCAGTCACACCCATGATTCAGAGTGAACTGCATGAATGCAGTGACTCCTTCAGGAAATGAGTTTTGAATTGATTTCTGTTGACAAGGCAGTAATATTTAAACAGGTACATTTAAGTAAAGCTAAGCATTTATATAAAAACATTTTTAACCCCAAAGGGAGAAGTGAAAAATATCTGGCTGAGCAGTTTTTTCTAGCTTGACAATTTGCATCTCGAGACTCCAGTGAACCACGACCAAGTGGAAGTTACTTTAAAGCCCTGAAAGCTCATTTTCTGGTTTCCTTTTTCATCAGATGATTTGACTGAGACTCGGGGTGTTTTCCACACTCACCTTGATGCATGGTAACTGAAATTTTGTCTTCCTGATTTTCACAGCTGCCTGACACCAACGAGACAGACTACATCTACAATGACACGGGCTATATCTACGATATTGGGACGGACTACCTGTGTGATGACGAGGTGAAGGGTCTGCAGACGTTCTACGTCGTGATCCAGCCCATGCTCTACTGCCTGATCTTCCTGCTGGGTGTGATCGGGAACGGCCTGATGATAACGGTCCTCCTGGGTCGTTGGCGTCACCTGCGGATCACAGAGGTCTACCTGCTGCACCTGGCCTTGACCGACCTCATGCTCCTTTTTACGCTTCCTTTCAGTGTGGTGGAAAGTGTTGCTGGGTGGCTGTTTGGGGGGTTTCTTTGCAAGATGGTTGGTGTGCTGAAAAATCTCAACCTCCTCTGCGGGAGTTTCCTCCTCGCCTGCATCGGCTTTGATCGGTATTTGGCCATCGTCCGCGCTATCCCGAGTTTGCAGAGCAGACGTTTGGAGACGGTGCACCTCGCCTGCTTCATACTGTGGTTGTTCTGTTTGGCCTTTACCATACCTCATGCTGTGTTTCTCTCTGTGAAAGCCGACCCGAGAAACTCCTCCCGCCTCTCCTGTCTTTACTATGAGTTTGGTATTCACGCGCACAACTGGGTTTTGACCAGCAGAGTCCTGGATCATGTGTGTTTTTTCCTGCCTCTGGCTGCCATGAGCTACTGTTACACAGCAGTTGTTGTGACTTTGTTTAAAAGTCAGAGAAGCAAAGCAAAGCAAGGTGCGATTCGTCTGGCTTTACTCATCACTCTGGTCTTCTGCTTCTGTTGGCTGCCGTATAACATCACCCTGCTGGTCAAGACCCTGGTGGACATGCAGGTTTTCTCCTACAGTAGTTGTGCGTTGTTTGTCTCACTGCAGCCCGTCCTGGATGTGACCCAGAGCCTGGGTTTCTCCCACTGCTGTCTGAATCCTTTCTTATACGCTTTTGTAGGCGTGCGCTTTCGCAATGAGCTGCTGAAGCTCCTGAGTAAAATGGGCTGTGGTCGAGTTTGTCAGCCTTTCATCCGAGGACAGGGTTACAGCAGACCGTCAGTTTCTGAGGGAACAACATCCATCAGCACCACGCATGCCACTATTTAACCTGAATACAATGTGAGCTGTAATTAAAATGCTTTTTTTAAGAGAGTTTCTCTTGCAATAAGGAAAATGTTGTTACTGAATCTGTTTTTTTTCTCTGTCTGTGTATAAAAATGTCTTCTCCCTCACATAAGAACAAAAGAAACTGTTGTTTTAAAGTGTTTTTGCTTGTATTTAAGCTTTGCTTATTAAATGTAATAAAGAACTGTGTGTGTATAGAGCAGCTGTGTCTCCTCATCAGTGTGGTCCCACAACAACAACAACAACAAGCCAAAGAAAAACCGCGTTAGGGATCAGAATTATTCTATTTCCGACTTCTGTTAAAACACAGTTATACAGAACAACTGCAAACAATCACAAATTGCATCTTATTTACAGCAAGTATATATATTATATTTATATATTTAATTCTTTTGCACAACAGTTTGGTAGTTGGAGAAAATAAATCAATGATATTAAAACAAATAGAAATTTGAGGCACTCCTCTCCTGACTGCCGCTCTGTTCAACAACAAATACACACATCTTTGAAATTTACAGAATGTACAGTATTTTAGAAAATGGCTTCAGATTTCTTTTTGAATGTTTTACAGTGCTTTTTAAATATTCAACTTTTTTTTCCAATCAGTCGTAATCCAGAGTTTGAGGATTATCACTGAATCGCTGTTTTCAAACAACTGCAGGAATAACATGGATGAAAAAACTCGGACACAATGGGAAGAAGGTTACTGAGCGACTTTTTTACACTTCAGGGATCAGAACGGCATGTTCGCCATCCCTCCAGGGCCGTAGCCAATAGGACTGTCCAGAGACATTCCACGCTGTCTGAGGGACTGGGGGCCCGTCATACCAGACTGGGGGTGGGAGGGGCCCATCATAGGACCCTGTGGGGACATTAATGGTCCTTGGGGGCCAAAAGTATCCCCTGGCATTGAGATGCTCCTCTGTTTGGCCTGCATCATCATAATGTTCTGCTGGGCCATCAGGTTGTGTTGGTGCTGCTGGGAAGACATCATGCCCGGGGGGTACGGGTTGGATGGGTGGTGGAGGAGGCTGTTTGCTATCATGGCTTGCTGCTGCTGGAGCTGTTGGGGCATCATGCCTGTCCTTCCCATCATATGTCCAGGGGGGCACATGGGGCCCATGCCCCCACCTGGACCCATACCTCTAGAGGCCCCCTGAGGGAGGCCCATGCCTTGGCGAATCCCCCCATGAGAGGGGTGAGGGCCCAGCTGCTGCTCAGCCATCATATTCTGCAGGTTTGCTAAGTGGGGGTTGGATGAGGGGCCGCTGCTGTGAGGGGGGCCAGAGGAAGACAGCTGTTTGAGAAGCTGCTGGGGGGTGGACTGCTGGGATGTGGGTCCCTGATGGGGATTCTGATGCGGCTCACTCTTTGGGAAATACTGCAGAGTGCTGCTGGGCTTATCAGAAGGAATGATGCGGGACAGATCGAACTCCGGGATCCCCGTGTGGGTGGGTCGGATGACTTCACTCAGATCCGGACCGTCCCCCATGGGCAGCGAGGAGAAGGAGTCTGAGGGGTGAGAGGGGCGCTGGTGGGGGTGACCTTTGCTGATCAGGTGTAACTGCTGAGACGACAGAATATCCTCGTTAGACTGAGAGAAATTCGGCGGCATCCCCCCGATGGGAGAGTGCATGGGCCCATGAGGGGGGTGCTGCATGCGAGGAAATCCCGCCATCTGGTTCTGTGATATGGGCGAGACGTTGCACGGCCCCATGCCATCAGGTGGACCACCTCCCATCATGGCGGAGTTCATGGCGGGTATCCCCATGTGGTTTGGGGAGGAAAGCACAGGTCCTGAGGCATCATGGGACAGGTGTTGCTGACCGTGGCTGACAATACCCATGGGGCTTTGTGGATCACTGTGTGGGCCGATGGAGCCCTGGGAGACAAGGATCTGGGAAGTCTGGGGGTTCCCCATGTTTCCTGGTGATAAATAAACAGCATGTTAGAAAAACACTGACGTTTGAAAGTGGGAGTTTTTTTTTTTCTTTATTATGTTTCAGAGGTGAAATACTAACAGGTCTCTTCATCAAACTGTGAGGGTTTAGACTGAGGGAGGGGTTCATGGGCAGAGTAATGCAAAACTTTAACAACAACTAGAGCCGCACAATAAATCAGATATTTACTGATGTTTTTTAACATGTTCAATAAACATAAAAATAAAGAAAACAGACAAAAGAAATCATTGGGTTATTTCAGTTTACATGTGCCTTTAATATTTGTTCAAACCTCCCGTTTCTTATTGATAACATTCTATTAAAACAATGTTATCCTTATTCATTTTGTGCTTTTGGCTTTAGTGCCAGAGTTGCTGATAAACTCCAAAACAAGGTGTGGTTAAAAATAAGGAATAAGTTGATTTTTGTTACAGGAAAAAAGACTTAGAGGGATATTCTGGCTTAAGTTTAAGCCATGGTCAAACACCTGCTTCTTGCTTCTTTAGTTATACTAACTTCAGCAACAACCGCAGGATAGCAATGCACAGCGGTCTAAGTCTCCACGCGCAAACCTCAACCAAAACGCCACTCTATAGCCACAAATAATGCTCAGAACAGCACCTAACTTCATCAACAGGACAAACACAACTCACCTACTCTCCTCCAGCAGCCGCTTGTTTGTGGGGGGAGCCCTGACGAGTCGATCCCCAAGTGCATCGGAAAATTTATGATTACTTCATGGAAATACAATCACTACGGCAGAAGAACTACCGTGTCTGCAGTGCATAGTGCTATAGAGTGGCGTTTTGGTTGAGGTTTGCGCGTGGAGACATAGACCGCTGTGTATTGCTATCGTGCGGTCGTTACTGAAGTTGGTGGAACCGCTAGGGAAGCTAGCGGTTGGCAACATTCATCCCTCGAAGGGGTGTCCAACTCAGGGTTATGGCGTGTTTGACCAGGGTTTAAACTTATGCCAGAATATCCCTTTAAGAGTCTCTAAATCAGTTATCGTCATTTGCTTGTTTATTGAATCTATTCACTGTCTCTGCAAACCTCCCATGACACCAACAGTCTGAACTGAAAACACTTGCTGCTACACCGGAGTAATCCAGCGCAGCCTCCAAGCCTTACCTCCGATGCTAACACCAGATAGTAGAGGTCGCTCCGGCAGCATCTCATCATCAGACGTGGCGATGGTTTTAATTGCATCATGGTAGAGAGGAGTCGAACTCGGCATGGCGTACTTGGACATCTGAGACATGATAAGGGATAGAGGGTTCTGAGACGGAGGGGCGTCAGAGGAGGAAGTAAATGGCATACTGGGATTCATGGATCCAGGCTGGCTAATGGGGGTGGAGTTGGGGCTCCTGGGGGGAAGTGATTGGCCTGAAAAGAGGAAAAAAAACTGATTAATGTCGCAGAAATTCAAGGAAGAGCATCGAAAAGTTTCAGATGGTCTTGGATTCTGGTAGTACCTGTCTCTGAAGAACTGCTCCCTCCGTTGCCCACTATCTTCCCACTGATCGGACCACCTGGACTAGGAAGAGCAGCTTTAGGAGATGCCCAACCCGGAGAGCCCATGGCCATCGCTGGGGACTTGTGTCGTCCAGGAGAGGCGGATGGGGAGTGCAGCACCAGGTTGGCAGACCCCATTACCTGGGGGGATTTCATGGAAGAAGAGCAAGGGGTCCCGGCTCCAGAGGCCGGGGGAAGAGGAGGATGATGCCCCGCAGAGGAGACCTGAGAAGGTGACTTTAGTCCTGGAGCAGAAGGTGAAGGTAGAAGTGGAGATGGCTCTTGGTTGAGGGATGGAGACTTCAGCTGATGAGAAGGAGGCACTGAAGGAGAAGTGAGGGGGTTGACATTGATTGACAGATCAGAGGGGTGTCGAGGACCAAGGTCTGCCCCCCTGAGGCCTCCGGGCATTGGCATGTGACTAAGCCGAGACGTTCCTCCCATCTGATTTGGACTCTGCTGGTCAGGCCCAAACATCTCAGGGCCAGGCTGCTGAAGGTACGTCCCTTCCACGTGTCCTCCAGAGAAAGGACCCTGATTAGGGAACTGGAAGGGTCCATCAGGTCCTGGAATCATCCCCCTATTTCCTCCTCTTCCGTTCTGTGACGCTCGGATTCGTGAGATCTCTCCAGGGCTGAACATCTCACTCAGAGACCCCCCTCCCGCAGGACCCCCTCGGAGCTTCTGGGGCAACATCATCTGCTGTTGTTGGACATTCATCTGTTGGTTCATGCTCATCGTCAGGTTCCCCCCTAAGGGAGAGTTCACCAGGTCTCTCATCTGAGGACCAGCTCCAGGAGAACCCATCATCTCACGTGAGCCGGGGAAGTCAATGGGGTCACCGCGGTTTGAGGGAGGACCCCGGCCCATTCCTAGACTGTTGAAGTCCGGGCCACCAGAATTCTCTAGACTTCTCGGTCCGAGGTTTCCCTGTTGTTGCTGTTTAACGAGTCTTTCAAGTTCGAACCGAGGAAGCCCCTGCAGCTGCCGCTTCTCCATGATGCGACACATCTCATCACGAGTCAGCAGGTGATCCAGGTCCCCCTGCAAATGCTGTGGAGGTCCGCCTGGATAGCAGCCGTGAAAGGGACCTCCACCCCCCATGTTGGTGGGCATATCATCGATCCACATCATCCCTGGTCTGGTGGGTCTTTGAGGTCCTAAACCCTCCATTGATAAAACTCCACCTGTGTTACCAGGAAATGCTCCACCACCAGGCGGTCCTCTCTGCATCTGTCCCAGGAACCTTGGGCCACGAGGTCCCTCCTGGTGCATGTCCATCATTCGAACGTTTCCACCCATTCCTCCGCCCATCATATTTCCAGGACCCCACTGCTGGTCTCCAGGTTTGCTGTGGTAAGGAGGAGGAGGTCCTCTAACCATCATGGGACCTCCGTGCATGCCCATCTCGCTCATCATCCTGAAGTGCTGAGGATGTGCCGGGGGCTGTATCTCCTGCTGCCGCCTCTTCTCCATGTAATATTCCTCCTGGAGTTTCCTCCAGGCCATCTGTTCCGGGGTCAGACCCTCAGGTCCAAGTAAGGGACCCATGTCGATGCCGGGGGAAGACAGCTGGTGATGGGGGTGTTGCGGTAAATTTGGGTGTGAATCCATCTGAGGGCTGTCCAGAGCAGGTCCTCCAAGAGACTGTGTTTGAGAAATGATGGACTGGAGGGGTTCTTCGTACTTCTTCATGCCCCCCATCGAAGCCAAAGCTGATGACAGCAGGTTTCCACTGTTAATCTTTCCAGAGTTATTGGTACCGTTTTCACTGTCCTCCATCATCCCGCTCCTTTCAGAATTACTGTTATTATTTAGATTGGAGGGGTTATTACCCCCAACGTTGTTGGCGCCTACTGTGTCCCCGGGGCCTCCACCGGCCCCACTGCGCAGAAGCAGTCTCTCTATGTCTCTGAGGGTCTGTAAAGAGCGCTCTCTGTGCTCCAGCTGCTCTTTGGAAAGACCATCGGAGTTCCCTTGGTTGCTCCTCTGGCCTGTATCACTCTGTAGGTGTGCAGACAGCATGGAGGGACTTCCAGATGGGGAAACAGTGGCAACTGGAAGGTTCGTACCTCCTACACCTTCCCCATCCCCAGGTCCTCCTGACATGGGGTCCACAGTTGTAGTTGCACTCCCTGTCTCTGATCTATGGGCAGAAATGTTGTTATTGCTGGAAGCTCGACAAGGTCTGGTCTGAGAGGATTCGTTATCAGAGTGTCCTGCTGATGACGGCGTCCCTGCGGGATGCAAAGGGCCTCCGACACCTGCAGAGGCTGGCCGTGGAGTTCCACTTTGAGATTTCGGGGTGCCAGAGGGGGGAGAGCTGCTTGAGTTCACCTTCTCAGGTAGGTTAGGAAGCTTCCCTGATGAGTGGCTCTGCGGCAGAGAAAGTGAGAGTAAGAGACAGCGTTAGTTTTTTTTTTTTTTAAACACGACTAAAGTTAGATTATTTGATTCTGGGATTTTGTATCATAATGACCATTGTGAGCATATTTACACTGTAACAGATGTGCTACAAAGACAACAGATGAGCAAGTTCACTTTTCTCAGCTGCTGTGTTTTAAAAAAGGGAACAAGTGGGTATCGGTCACCAAAATTAACCATCAGATTTTTTACTTGTGGTCTTCACTGTGAAACAGCGTCAACACTCTCCTGCTTTAAAGGGATATTCTGGTGTAAAATTAAGGTCAAACACACCGTAAAACCGAGTTAGACGCTCCCTCCAGAGATGAATGTTGTCGACCGCTCACTTCTCTAGTTATACCAACTTTAGTAACGACCACACAATAGCAATACACAGCGATCTGAGGAGCCATAAACAAACCTCAACCAAAACGCCACTCTATAGCCACAAATAATGCTCAGAACAGCACCTAACTTCATCAACAGGACATATAGGGTCACAGACATAGTACTAGACACTAGTGCTGGACGATAATTCGATAACAATATATATCGATCGATAGACGTGTGGTGCGATAGAAAAAAAACGGGTCGATAAAAAGTTCGATAGAAAAACACAGTTTCCCTTTCTTTTTCATCATAGCCTATCATGTAGCTTTTACTACAGTCATTACTTCCTCCCAACCAATCACAAACGCAGACCCAGGTACGCTACGGCACCAAGCCCAGCCCCTCTCAAACCACAACAGACAGCACGTGTATTAGAAAAAATGATACAGCAAGGAGAAGCGGAGGACATTGTCCCGAAAAAAGGTTTCAGCAGTTCACCAGCATGGCAATGTTTAGGTTTTTAGAAGTCTGACAAAAAGCGAACAGCGGTCGTTTGCAAAATTTGCAGAGAATTAGTAAAAACCAAGTCTGGTAACACAACCAACTTGTTTTACCATATAAACCGATCGCACCCGCAGGAGTACGAGCTGTGTCGGCCGCGCCGCGGCTCCACGTTATCGTCGGAGGAATCCTCTGGAACCGCTGCCAGCACCAGCACAAAGCATGTGAAGCCGACCAAACTGGACTTCGTTTCTTGCCAAAAATAAGACAAAGCGTCCAAGCGGCATAAGGACATCACCCATGCAGTAACATGCTCCATAGCGAGGGACATACTGCCAATAACTACCGCTGAAAAGCCTGGCTTCGACCAGCTTCTAGCCACTCTCGACCCGCGATATGAAGTGCCCGGCCGCAAGTATTTCTCAAACGCAGCGCTTCAGGCATGAAAATGGGTCAGGGGTTGAAAAGGTGAGAAGGGTGCGGAGGAAATACGTTCAAATGAGCTCATATTTTACAAAGACGCGAGTATTTGGATCATGGCTACTAGCAGGGGGTGCATTCGGCAGGGGTGCATTCTACGACACAACACCGGCATGAATAAGTCCTGCTTCTCGTGCTTAGTTTGTGTATTAAGTCAATCACATGATAATAAAAAAAAAATAAATCTCCCGACCCCGGGAGAAATATTTCAGTGTTCAGACACCAGGCTGTGGGCAGTTTCTCACACAGTTAAAACTGGTAGTATGCTATTCCCACCTAAAGCTATTCTGTTTATTTATATATTTGTTTGTTTTGTTTATTTTCATCAAAAGACTATTTAAATATTTATTTATCAGATTTTCTGGTCACTTTAGTCTTTATGTTTGTCAGTATTTACTGACGTCACTCAGGCCTCTTAAGTTGATTTCTTTTTTTTTTGGTTCTTTTTTAAAAAACTTTCAGTTGTGGTAAAATAAAAAAGGTGGTTGAATAAAGGTTTGAATTTGAATTCAGTGCTTGTGTGTTCTTTATTAAAAGTAGGTCATTAAGCAATAGCATAAAACATCCAGGGCTGCAATTAAAATATATGTTAAATAATTATAATAATTATATCGATAATTATCGATATCGATCAATATGATTTATTTTTTATCGATATGCTTTTTTTCTATATCGTCCAGGCCTACTAGACACCAAACATCTTTTTAACTTTGACTCATTTCTTTAGCAAAGAGACTAAACACAACTCACCCACTCTCCTCCAGCAGCCACTTGTTTGTCGCGAGACCTCAGGCCAGTCCATTATGGACGACAGTGGGGTGACGCAGCTCAAGGAAGAACATTTATGATCATTTCTTTATCATGTCTTTTAAGTAATAATCACCATATTGATCCTTTTGCACTGCAGACGCTGTAGTTCTTCTGTCTTAGCGTCTCGGTCTGATTGTATTTCCATGAAGAAATGATCATAAATGTTCTTCCTTGAGCTGTGAAACTCCGCAGTAGTCTGTAATGGACTGGCCTGAGGTCTCTCTACAAACAAGCGTCTGCTGGAAGAGAGTAGGTGAGTTGTGTTTAGTCTCTTTGCTAAAGAAATGAGTCAAAGTTAAAAAGATGTTTGGTGTCTAGTACTATGGCTGTGACCCTATATGTCCTGTTGATGAAGTTAGGTGCTGTTCTGAGCATTATTTGTGGCTATAGAGTGGCGTTTTGGTTGAGCGCATGGCTCTGTGTATTGCTATTGCGGGTCGTTACTAAAGTTGGTATAACCAGAGAAACAAGCGGTCACCAAAATTCATCTCTGGAGGGGGGGTCTAACTCGATGTTACGGTGTGTTTGACCCTTAATTAATTTTACGCCGGAATATCCCTTCAACACATTTTTGATATTCATTATTATTTTGCTGTGAAGCTGCGGATGTCTGACCTGCTCCAACTTGGTGTGTGGAACATTTTGCTGGTGAAACAGGAGGATGGAGTCGGTCTGTCCTTTTATGACGGCCTCTGCAGCGCTGTCAAACACACAGAGAAGATGAGGACATCATTGTAAAGTCAGATTCGGTCGTTAAAGAAAGAGAAGAAGAAGGTGTCAGGTCTGCGAACAGTTCCCGTACCTGTTGGCTAGGCTGGTTGTGAAAACATACACCACTTGCTGTGAAGGCTGAGGCTGCTCTGCTTTTAAAACCGGACCCACACTACACCCCCGTACAGCGCCCCCAGGTTCAGACATCGGCCCTGAAGGCAGGCGGTCAGAAAGCCCCCGGATCGGACCTGGCAGTCCACACTCTCCTGAAAAACATCAGAAACATGCAGGTTTAATGATTTCCTGATTGCAGAGCAGCGCTCCTGTTTGGCTCCAACATCTCACCACTAGATGGAGCTAAAACACATAAAGTCAAAACTGTGATGGGAAAGTATTCAAGCCCTGAATTTTTTCAGTGTGTGAGAAAGATCTCAAAACATCCATGGATAATTCATGGCTTTAACCTGTTTTTGTTTCAGAGAAAGCCCACTGAGGCACGGCAGGGGATTTGAACATGAAATTCAAGCGGCCTTCACAGTTTTGGACAGAATGAGACGGTTGTGAGCGAGGACTTCAACATGGAAACATCACTGAGACTCACGAGGGGCGGCGGCGTGCGGCTTGTCTTCATCCTCCTCTGTGTCGGGTCCAGAGCACCATTCGTCTCCACTGTACGGCTGTTTTTTCTCCAGGACGCAGCGCCGCTTACTGCGCATGACGCCCTCTGCAAAACAACAAACACACACACAAAACAACCGTCAAAAAACAGAGGAGTAAATTAGCTTTTAAAATTCTACAGTCCTGTTGTTCAAACCCATCAAAACAGAAGTCCAGCGTCTTCTCTGCAGCCTGTTAGACTTGCTGGAAGTTATAGTTTCCCAGATTGGAGTTTTAGGATTTGCAACACATCACTTTCACTCTCAATAAGACGACTCCAAAAACACTGAGACACTGGTAAACTGTCATGAATTGAATTTGACGGTTATTTTAAAGCTGAAATTTAATAAATTCGATATTTAATTTAATACTGGCTTTGACTTGTGCACTGATACCAAGCTGTGTGATCCCTCTCCTCTTTAGAGCAGAGGATGCTGCGTCCATGGTTTCCAAGATTAGTTTAGTTCAGTTTGTTTATTTATTTCATTCCGTTATCGATCATAAAAACAAAAATAAAACTCATAAAAAAAAATAAATACTGTAACTCTTGAATGAAAGGGGGCAGAAAGAAGCAAACATATATTTTCTACCCCTTAGTACAAGAAATTAATTCACAAATCAGATAATATGAATCCAAGCAAAGAAGAAATAGAAGTAGAAGAAAAACAACGTCTACAACAAAAGTGGCATAAAATAAGCAGAAATACATAAACAGCTGTATCTGTATATAAACCCATACAAACAGACACACAATTTCACACATATCTCATGTACACGCACAGACACGTCTGTACATACAGTCCCCAGCATAAGTCAGTACACCCCCTATTAAAAGTGATGTATTACTTAATATCTAGATGAGCAAAAGTACAATTTCCAAAGTTTTGACGAAGCTGAGTTTAACATTTTATTTACCATCAGATGAAAATAACAGAGATATGGTAACTAAAATTCAGCTTTGCTCCCAGAACTTTGATTGGGTTGTACTCATTTTTACATCCGGATTTTAAAACAAACAAAAAAATACTTTTTTGTATGTAACTTTAAAAATCTTGTTTTCGATCAGCGTTCTACATTTGGGGGAGTATTTTGTTGTAAAGTCTGACACGGAAAATGTTGATTTTGAAATGAAACTAAAGGTTTTCTGACAACTCTGAAGGGGTGAACTCATTTACGCTGAACACTGTGTATGTGTACACACCTTTTACAGTGTTTTTATTCATTTAATACCAGGTTATATTTCTGAATAATATCATTTTTTACTGTTTTTTAAAATAAACTGTTTGATCTCGCTTCTTTGGTTTCAAAATGTGATAAATCAGGTTGTTACTTCAACTTTCTCCAGATCATGTTTAACCTTCATTTGTGAATTCAGCTACAAACTGTAACTCTAGAGGTAACTTTGGGCTCATGCAGTGATTTCCACAACAGAGACAAGTCTGTTTTTAACTGATTATCCAGTTTCTTTTTATACCCAGTCATGTTACTAATCAACCCCCTGAGTACAGAGATGTTCCTCCAGGTGGTTTTTAAAGATTGCATAACTTTTTCTGTGTTTTGTTGTCTCCATCCCATTTTTTCTTGCATCTATTTTATCATTTTATAATTGAATTTTCAGTTTCAACATCTGATGTGTTGTCTTTCCTGCGTTTTCTGGTAAATATTTAATTTACCTGCAAACATTCAAACTCTGCTTTTATTAACATTTACAGTGTATTACAGGGTTCCTACACAGTTTTCCAAACCCTTATTTTTAGAATTATTTTTGGACATACCTAATTTGCTATTTCAGAAAACAGTATTTGAGAACTGTGGTAATAGTCTGAAAACATAAATATTTTTCCATACTTTATTTTTTATTTTCCATTCATTTTAAAACCTGAAAATTGATCAAATTTATTTCCTTACTTGCGTAGGAACTCTGTATCAATTACTCATTTGTGCAGCAGTTTTCTATTTATGCTGGTGTGTATGATAATGTCTCATAAACACATCTGTGGCTGCAGGATTTCCAGAAACCTGTGCTCAACTGTCTCACATTGCATAATTATTGTGACTGTTGGTGCACACACTCCTTGTCCACCAGTGGGTGCAAACAGCTGCAAGAAATCTGCAGAATGAACGGGTGATAGCAGAGAAAACAGACGGTAGACATCCCTGATTATTGAGTATTTGTTGACAAGTAACATGTTGGTGACTCTGAGGCACATCAGAACGGTGTTGGGTAACCGCAGACATAAACGAGGATGGATGCAGCATCAGAAAGAGAAAAGTTTGCAGAGATAAGTTGGAGAAGAAGAAAGAAGACAGCAGAGGGAGGTCTGCTACCTTGACACTGAGCGGCAGTATGAAAGAGCTGATCTCTTATCAACGGTGAATGCATTTGTTTCCTACAGACTCTGAATTCCTCCACATTGACCAGAGCGTCTGTGATGTAGCTGTGTCTGTGACCTGTTTGTCAGTGTTTCTCTGCAGGTTTGGTGGCACCAATGTTTCAAAATAAGGAGGTTTGGAAGAGAGAGGTTAAACCGAGAGAGAAGATTTCCCTTCAAACCCGCCCGCCCGCCTTTCATCCTCTTCCTCTTTCAGCTTCTGTTCTTCTTCTTTGTGTTTGAACTACACCTCTCCCTCTGTGTGTGTGAGCGTGAATTAAAGTCGTACAGGAGGCCCCGGATAAGTTTGACTAAATCATATTAATGTCATGTACAGTCAACGACACTCGTGCGATCACGTGAACTCTAAAATAAGCGACAGCAAACAGATGCAAATCAAACACTTTGTGCTTAACCACATCATCACAACACACACGCACAGAGCCTCCTCACCCACACGCTGTCTCCTGCTTTAATAACAACCGCTTAGTTTTTGCAACCTCATGACCTGTCTCGCTCTTTCTCTCTTTCTCTCTCTGAGCTCCACAAAAAGGAAAAGATGCTTCTTTTTTCTCAGAGACACGTCACTGCAGTGCGGGCGAAGCACACCATCAAAAAGCTGGGGGAAATTCTGCCGCTCCGCCGAAAGGTCAGGGCATTTCAGAAAGAGAGAAAACAAGTTCCTCTGTCCTCTCGGTCCTTACATCGACTTCCTGCTGTGGAGGAGGAGGTGAATACACAGAATCTGGTATTTCGAGTTCAGATGGGGCTGATACGAAGCAAAGGAAGTGAACTTCTGCATACTTAGAACAGAAACACACACTCCTGTGGACGCTGCAGACACACACTCACACACACAGCTTCCTCTCTGCGCACGCACGCCTCACCTCCTTTGGCGTCCGTCTCCACAGCTGGAGGAACGGCATTTCGTGAATCGCCCGAGTCGATGGAGACGCTCCGTTCCCGCTTGGATTTGGTTTTCAGCATCCCTCCGACGCTGCTCACTGATTGGTTGACGGCCTTCAGCCCAGGGTTGCCAGGGGAGATCTGGTTGGTTTTGACTCCATGGCTCCCGGCGCCGGCGCCTTTTGGACCCAGGTGGCCGGCTGCTCCCTGCTGCTGCTGCTGCTGCTGCTGCTGCTGAGCCTGCTGGTTCACACCGGGGATCTGCGATCGGCTGTCACCGCTGACCTGTTTGCCATGATTGGCCAGTTTATTGTCCGTGTGCATTTGATTGGCTGGAGGTCTGGTTTGGAGGATTTGTTGTGGTTTTCGTTGTCAGTGAGGGTCACATTTCTTACTGGTGACACTGGAGGACAAAAACAAAACCAGGACAGTCAGTCAGACAACCAGTAATCAGTTCAGAAGACTAATAATCCAAATCAGTAAATATTAAAAACCTTAATGTCAAATTTTTGAATTTTAAATATGAAATCTTAAAAACCTGGTCCTAAATTTGGCGACTTTTTCAGATTTAGTTTTAGACTTCAGACAAAAATGCAGTTTTTAGTTTCCCTGAGAGTCCACTTGAGGTGGGCTGCAGAAGTACCAAAAACCAGGTCCACAAAAACCTGTTTAGATCCTGGTTTTGGTCTGAATCGATCAGGGCTCTGTAAATTCTTTATGTACGCCTTTTACTTTAAAGTTATCAAAAGATCGGCCAATCAGAAGCCCAGCTGACTTGACTGACAGGTGGTTAGATTTTGGCTGTTTGTAAAGAGGGCGAAAGGCCCGCCTCTGATTGGCTGATCAAAGTAAGGCTGAGTCAGCATTTCCAGTACGCCGACCACAGTAGAGGGTCGATGACGAACATTTGTCGATAAACTTAAAGGTGGTGTAGATAGGATCTGAGGAAGTTCCAGTTTTTAGGAGAAATCCCTCAGCTCCTCCTCTCCCCTCCCCCTCTGCTCCAGTAAGCCCCGCCCACAAACAGACGCTCCTGCTCGCTCGTATCGTTCCAGTTAAATTCAGATATAATGCAGATAAATACTTCAGATCATTACAAATGGGGCCCAGTCAAGGTGAAAGTAAACAGCATTGGTGCTACTGTAGATGCCAACAGACTACCAGCAAACACAATGTTTGCAGGACTTCTACAACGAGGATAAAGTGACATAGTCCAGGACCCGAGGGAGGACAGTTTAGCGATGGCGCTACAACACGCTACAGCAGGTCCGTTTGACGAGAAACAACGAAAAGAGGATTAGAGCCTCATGAAGGAAAACAAATAATTACAGGAAGGAGATTAAGGTTGAAATTACAGGATTAAAAAAATTGAATTATGTCAAGTCGTAATTTCAACATAATAAATTGAAATTTGGAGATAAAAGTCAAAATTTCGAGATTAAAAAATGTCAAACTGTCGTGAATAATGTCGGAATTTTCGACATTCAAAAAAATTAAAATCTTGACATTAAAGTCAAGATCGAGTTGTGGGCGGGACATCAGCTGAGACAGAGTGGTGCAATAAATCGAACCCAGAGGGAAAGACAGACCAGAAGAGACGCTGATTTTTAATCAAATAAAAGGCCGATACAGATAACAGGTCAAAAGTCAAAAGTCTGCCCTGATAACTGGTCTACTCCTGCCATGTTACTCTTAGTCTTTCAGAGACAAGAAGCTTTTTAAAATGAAACAAAATCAAACGTATTTTTGGACTCATGAGTTTTCTCAGAGTTTCGTTTCTCCTTGTGGATCAGAAGCTCCACGCTCTGGTTCTCGTTACAGGCTTTAAAACAAACGACCCGCTCTGTTGACTCACCTCATCTCACCCAGACGCTCAACTGACACACTGCCATGCTGCTCTTTAGGACACTTCACTGACCACACATGGGACCTGAGGGGGAAACCGACAGAGTAATATCATCAGTGGAGACAGATAGCGATCTTTACAGTCAGTGTTATCAGTCAGTGTGTGTGTGTGTGTGTGTGTGCGTCCTCAGCCTGTGGGTCAACATCAACCTCATGAGCAAAGACAAGAAAACAGAAACACAGAGAGAGAAAGAAGATCAGAGAGACCGAGGCCGGAGTGACGCTGTTCCTTTAAGAGAGACAGAGCAAAGGCTGGGTTCATGTCGGGGGGGAGGGACCTGCAACCCAGAAGTGGCACAGCAGCGTTTCAGGTCCCTCCCCTTACCAAACACTCTGCAAACCACAAAAACTCCTCAACACATTCCACAACAGCTCTGAAGCAATACCTGCTGTCTCCCTCCCTCTCTCTCTCTCTCTCTCTCTCTCTCTTCCATTTTAGGTACAAACTGGCAAAAACTCAATACCAACTTATTAGAGATCAGAGTTCAGACTCAACACAGACCTCAGGACTTTGTTTTCAGTCCGTTTTTAAGAGGAGATGACCAGGTCCGGGTCTTATATCCACCTCTAGATTCACTCGGGGAATAAAAACAGACTCGAACTGATTCTAGGTCACCGTTAAGGTTGGAGGATACTTCCTCGTACATGAGGCTTCATTCACCCCCACCTGTCTGTGTCCATAACCCCGAGCTTCTGATCTGAACCTTCACAGCTGGGGTGAGTTTCTCAGACTGTGCACGAGTTTTCTCCTCGTGCACGGAGCATCAGAGAGCGCTCCTGTATCTGCAGGTCTCAACAGGACCCTCCACACCTGTCGCAGGTGAACAATAGCTGGTCAGAACAGACACGGCAGAGTAGGGCTGGGCGATAAAACGATAATGATATATATCAAAAATTAATTTTTCTCGATATCGATATGAAACATGGTCAATATCCTTCTCGATAGTCGACATTCTGCCATGTTTTGGTTCAGGGAACATTTAAGATTGACAAGTGATTTTGTTATATCTTGATACATATCGATATCGACTGACATAAAAATAATTTATATCGTGATAAACTTTATCCCATGTCGCCCAGCCCTACAGCAGAGCTAACGCAGACCTCATGTCAACATTTCCACTGGTTTCCATTTTTGGCCGATGATGACACAACCCGAACGCTCGAGTCGCTCAGGTCAGGTCAGCTGTCCCGCTCCAGCAGAACCATCTGCAGCAGCGCTCGCTCACCTTGACAGGTAATGGTAAACACAATGCTGTAATTAGTCATTAACTCAGAGCGGCTGCAGTCGGCACAGAGAGGAGCCTTGTTCTTCAGCCCAGGACTTCATCACTCATTAACTCAAACAGGGACGCTCAGACGTCGCTTTGTTGACAAAGTGTGACTCACTCCATTTGTGCAACACAAACTGGAGGGACACTAATCATACGGTGGGTCTCTGACCTTCCACTGGACAGCCAGGTGAAGATAGGACTATCTACAGTGAATACCGGGACCCTCAGAGTGATCTGATCAGCGGGACAGACTGAGGAAGTCCACTTTGGACTGAAACAGGGACGTTGTTTTGAGTCTCTTCTAAACCTGAAGTTAGCCCCACTCTACCATTATCCCCACTCCTTTCCCTGTGTGGGAAGTCTGTATTTATGTCATCAGCCACAAGGAACATTACAGTGACTTCAGGACAGCTGACGACCAGGACGACGCCTCTTTTTTAGACTACTGGACTTTCTGAAGAGAGTTTAGAGAGATTTTCAAGTTCCTGAAAAAGTCAATTAGCCGTGTTTATTTAAATAAATAAAAACTTCCTACAATAATAAGAAAGAAATATGTTAAAACTAAAGGAATGTTTGAGCAGAATAATAAAGAAGTTTTAATTTGAATTTGAATTTATTGAAGGATAGACCCTTGAGATGTAGCATCTCATTTTCAAGAGGGTCCCTAGAACTCAGGACACATTTTAACACATTAACATACAGAACATATAACAAATACAGACCTCTTACTCACCCTACTCCAACACACAACCCCAACCAAATGTACTCTTCATAAATAATCTTATTAACAAGGATAAATAAATGGAGCATAAATGCAAAAAAGAGATGAGAGTTTTGTGCCGTTCTAAAGTGATAAAAAGAAGTAAATGAACGCAAAGAAAGAGGTAAATTATTCCAATCTGATGGGGCTTTATACTGAAACGATCTTTTACCAACTTCTTTAAAGATTCTAGAAACAAAGAAAAAAGGGAAGTTCTTATGTCTAAGAGAGTATCAGGAGTCATAAGGGATCAAGAGTTCTTTTAAATATGAAGGTCAATGGAGATAAACACGTTTAAAAAGGAAATGACGCCGATGAAATTACCGTCTTGATTTGGTTTGTAACCAGTTCAGTGAGTCAAACATAAAGCAGTTATGAGTTCTCGAAACAAATCTACATAAAGAGTAAAATATTACAGTCAGAGGTTTGAGATGAGAGTCAGAAGTGTTATCGTGAACTATATCAGCAGAATCAACAAGTGGTGATATCAGCTGTGATATTCATCTTTTTATGACATTTAAAGTAAAACGATTAATCAAACGATACAGTGATGAAAGACAACCAGATGACTTTTTGAGATCAGAGGTGACGTGTCCTAAAAATCAGACTGCAGGACTTCTTTATGTTCAAGTTTGTTCTTACTGAACCAAATCAAAATGAAACTGTAAAGAGTTCTGGATTGGAGATAAATCGGAGTTTTAATTGTAAATAACAGCGTCGTCGACATATAAGTGGATATGACAGTTTGAACAGATATTAATAAAAATAGAAAAAGAAGTGTTTTGGTTTGAGGAAGTAGAAGATTCTCACATTTTGGGGCAACATGTGATTGTTGATGATTTAACTCGGACACTTTAGGACTTCAGATTTCTTCAGACCTATTCTGATGTGCTGATCTGGTGACTTAAAGGTGCAGTACGTAGGTTAAAGTAAGATTTAGTAGGTCAGGCGCTGTAGAAATTAAATTTATTATCACAGTTATTTCTAAATAAAGTCTAAATGAATTCATAATACAACATATGTCAAAGTAGAGTGAATGAAGTACTTGTATTCTGTGTATTTGTCTGTTTTATTTGTCTGTTTGCTCTTTTATTTGGTCAGAGTCAAAATAACTAAATTATCTCCATCTGCTGGTAATAAGAAAAAAAATAGATTATAAACTGTTTAATTTTAATAATAATTTAAACTGTTTGAATCTGACTTACATGTTCATCCTCTTCAGCAGCTTTTATTTTTGTTTAAAAAAAAAGAAAAGGTGTGGACTAATCCGACACACCTCGAGCACCAACAGTGCGCCTAATTGGAGTCATCTGCATTCATTACATCCCGACCCCAACACCCACTCGTAACAAGACATTTAACGGGCCAGCTTTAGAGATGATTAGTGCTTAATTATGGTGACATTTGAATGATGGAATTAAATCAATGCCATGTGATTAATCTGCAATAAAATCATGGCTGTAAAGTCAACGTCGCCCAAGGGAGGTGGTCTGCGTTTCCCTCCCCCTCACCTCGTCGAGAGGTTTCAGGTTTAGGTTATCGGAGCAGAACTGGGTCTAATAAGGAGAGGAGAAGATTTTAACCTCTCTGTGAGAAAACGACTCAACAACAACAAAAGACTTGGGGGATTTCATCGTCTACAGTACATGATAATGATGATCTGATGTAGGGCTGCACGATTAATCGATTTTAAATTGTTATCAGATTATTTGATTATGATGATGTTAAAAAGATTAAAATCCTCAAATCGATTTTCCTCTCTGTCATGTCTCGCGCCTCCAGGCCACCGTAGGCTCCTCAGTTCCCACACACCCCAGTGTAAACAAACATGGCGTTTGTAAAAGAAGGCGATAATTTCGTGGTTAAATCGGACAAGAGTGAGTCAGTCGTGTTGAATTGGTACGACTTCACAGTTTCAGATGAAGAGCAAACCACTCCCCGCTGTAAAGTCTGTCTGAAGGCGGTATCAACCCGTCACCACGGAAACTAATTCAGGAGGAAACGCTAAAGTTTTTTGTCGTATCGGCGTTTCAGGTGACTGTAAACGGTACTTTTGTCTATCTGCATCTCTGGAAACGATCATGTGACACACAGCGTAACTCTTTCATGGCGCCAAAACAACCTTTATACACATGCTCTGTACTCTTCTTCTGTCCTTTGTGCATTTCCTGGGCAGCGTTACAGCGCCACTTACCGGTGCTACATCGTTTTCAGTGGTTTCATTTAGAGACATGATGAAAAACTTTTTACTAAAGTGAAGTTTGGTGAAGTTGTCACTGAATAAAAAAAAATCAAAAATCGAGTTTTCAGAGAAAAAAAATCAGGATTTTACTTATAGCCAAAATCATGGCGCCCTTCAAAAAACCACCTTCTGACCACAGTCAGGCTCACCTATTGGTTTAGGAGCAACATCTGCTGCCTTCAAGGAAACGCCTTTTACAGCGAAGACCTTACATAATAGAGCCAGACAACGCCAGAGCACATCCACACAACCGTTGAGCAGCTGACATGTCAACATTTCAGAGTGACAGAGCGCCACAAACCGGTCTCTCCTCGGTCCTAAGATGTGGACCAGGTGATGGACGATGGTTGAGTCACAGCGGTCTGTGGAGGTCTAATATGCAAATCTGACTTCTTTACAACACTTTTAAAAGAAGATTTAAATAAAAGTTCAGATAGAAAAAGAGCCTCCTGCTAATAACAAGTACTGAGAGAAATAACAGATGATCGGACGACGGAGGAAACCTGATTAAGACGGAGCTCATGTTGACACAGTTTCTGGTTTGAAGTAAAGATCCTAGATTAGCTTGTCGTGGAAAGGTCACAGGCTCCTCCGACTGATGACACAGACCTGGTGTGTACCCACACCGACGTGGACAAACAAGTTTCTGACGAGGTAGAGGAGGAAGAAAACATGAGAAGAAGATTCAAAACTTTACAGAATTAGAAAGAAACCTTCGTGGATTTTTACCGTTAAACCTTCGCTGCTCAGTCGATAACAGCAGATGGATAAAAACAAACATACTTCCAAAGAGTGAGACCAGTTCAGTGTTGGGCGGACACTCACACACTGGTTCACTCTCTTCCTGTGAAAAATAGGCTTTATTGTATATGACAGATTTAGCCGTTGGCAGTGATTCATAAATAGACCTCTGCGGGTCATTTTAAAGCATCTGCTGCTCGACTCGAGCTGGTTTATCTCTTAAAATCAAACTAAATGTGCGATCACTATTTCTCATTAAAGGTCGAAGACTCCGAGCCTGAGAAAAGTCCCATAACTCAACAAATATGCAAATGAGCACAATCTCAATCTGAGCTTTATTAAAAGGTAAATGTAAAAGTGACGGCACGGAGGAGATAGAGACTAATCTGAGAGGTAATAGGCTGTCGCTGTGAAGACGAACAGGCTGAGGGTAACCTCTGCAGATGAAGTAACCACCTGTGAATCCACCGAGACGCTCCAGGTGTTCATTTGGGAAAATGAAAGTGTAAATGAAATATTTAATAATGATCCTAAAGAAACTGGTTCAACCAGGAGATATTTCTGCAAACAGAAACAGGTTTGAAAATAACCTCCAATCCTTCGTGTAATTCAGACACTTCTGCACAATCATCGGAGAATGTGGACGAACACGTCTGTTAGAGGTCGAGATACTTTGAGAATAAAATGTTTGCTCTGTGGGCTGAAACTGTATCTCTGAATCCAGAACTGAGAGCGACACACAACTTTACAACAAGGGGAGACTCGTAGGACCACAGCGCCGGAGTAAATCTGTTTCTAAGAGGTGTGGGTTCGACTCAGACTGGTCTTTACAGAACTTTATTACTCCATCACACCTCTCAGGCTTTTCATATGTAACATGATTAAAATAACACCTCATTGGTTTAATGCACAAAGCAGCAAATGTTTGAGTTCATAACTTTGATGTTAGGGCGCCAGAGTAACGGGGAAACTGTAGTTCCCATGTGCCGTCGGTTACAGCTCGTTCCTTCTCTGTCGTTAACTTCATAAAAACATGTGAATTAAGTTGTTACCTGCTTTTCCTGTTAGTTTTAGAAACACTAGCTTCCGCTTCGGATCAATGCGAGTAGAAGAAAGATGCCTGACAGTCTGTATCGGCCCCTCGCCCCCTGCAGGCTGCGCGATGTAGGTGCAGGGAGTCAGCAACTCAAGCAGCAGCTTCATGATGAAAACAATCAGAGTCATCTGATATTAATCTCCTCAAGGCCGATACTAGTCCCTATTTTTGTTAATTAGCTAATAAGACCAATAATTTATATTTGACAGGAAAAATCAAAATGTCTATCAAAACAAATTAAAACATGATACTTTACTTTTACGTCTTCAGCAAACGTTTAATCAAAACTGAAGCGTTCCACGCCGTATACAGGAGTACAAGTAACTAGCTACACTTATTGAAGCTACATCACACGGTCATGTGATATTTAGCCAATCAGACAGTCCTGTGGGAGGGGCAAATGTGAAACAAGTTGTGCAAGATAACAAACCCAAAGGTCAAAGAAGAAACTTTCACATTAATCTTACCAGCCATTAAGGGTGGAAGAAAAAAAACGATACAGCATAGTATCACGATATTTCATCTGGTGATATATCGTATTGTCTCATTTACCAAGTATCGATTTTTTTTGCAAGATGTGCTACATGAAAATAAAAACATAAAGAAAAGCCAAATGCTAAATTAGCTAAACAGTTGGAAAAACTGTATAACAATATATGGTACTGCAATACTCGCTGTATTGCAAAATGTTAAAAATCGCAATAATATCATGACATGACCCAAGTATCGTGATAATATCGTATCATGGCTGGAGTATCGTGATAATATCGTATCATGGCCCGGGTATCATGATAACACTGTATTGTGGGGCCACTAGCGATTCCCACCTATACCAGCCATCGGCAAAGTAAAAGGTCGATACAGATAATTAGCCAAAATACCGATAATCGGCCGAGGCTAATAATCTGTGTCACCCTTTAAAAAAAAAATTACGACTGGTAGCAGAACAAGAATCGAAACAGACGACGGTGCCAAGGACTGAGTCAGACATAAATTGTGCCACAGTGTTCCCGTCCTCCTGATCATAACAAAGCGATGGATCAATCCTTCCTGCCCTCATTCAAAATGTGAATGACTGTTCATACGAGAGGTGGCCTAATTCTCCTTTACTAAAACTCATTAAATCTTTATTATTTGGCACGCTTCGTACCCGCCTCGCCGGCTTCTTTTTTTCCACTAGATGTCCGCTGCCTGTGTCCCTGGAAAGCCCTGGTAGAGATCAGCTTTGGTGCATCTGATCAAGTCAATGAACTATGGCGCAGTTACATAATCCAGACGGAGATTAAAATGTTCACACTCTTGGTTTTGTTTCATTCACAATATGAGATAAAAATATTATTCAGACTTTTATCAGGTAGGTTCATGTTTGGAAATCAGCTGTTATTATTTCCACAAATGTGTTTGAGCAGAAAACCGTCTCCTCTTCTTTTTCCTCTTTTGACATTTTCACGAGTACTTCTGGAGACAAATTCAATTTAACAGTTGGAGCTCGTCCAGATGCGTCAACTCGCTGCTGCAAACAAATTAGGAGGAATAATTCGATGGGTTTTCAAAATCCATAACACGTGGTCCGTATGCGTTACGCTTTACAGGACAGAGACGACGTGCAAAAGAAGGGCGATCGCAGAAATACCCTCCCTGAAATTCCTTCAGCATCGGTGGAAACAAACAGCGCTGTGCTCTGTGAGGCCTGAAGGTTTGATTGATTTAAATGAGTTTGACTGATGCCATTTTCCCTTAACTGTGGAAAATACTGACGCACCACGTGATGGGGACATTCTTAGAAAATCTGAATTCACAAGTGCCGCAGATATACGTGTGTGTGTGTGTGTGTGTGTGAGCCTACAGTGGGAGGCCGAGCTCATATTCAGTCCCAGTGGGTCACACAGTACTTTGTATTTTTAGAGCGAGCTGGTATTAATAGACCCGGAGCGCCCTGAGAAGTCAGGGCCAGCAGTGAGAACAAAATACGACGCCAAGTCCAAAACACAGATGCCACAGTGCTGCTCTGTGGACCCACAGCAGTAAACACCGAGGCCAAACTGTTAAACAGCGCTGATGAATGAATAATGTGTATGACGCAGGATGGCACACAGACATTCACAGTTCAGACGCCTCCCTGCATCAGATCCTTAACAAACTGCATTTTCTCGTGGCGCCAGTGGAAGCAGAAAATAAGTTAAATAAGCTCGGCCAATCGGTGGCCTGATTCAGGACAAGGCCGCGTATAACACAACATGTATGACTGTTAACGGATTAACCGGAGGGAACTCCACGGGCCGCTTGTTTGGAGGGTTCGTCACTTTATTTATAACCTCAGTGACTCTCAGCTCACTCTTATTCACTTAAAGTCGTCTTCACTAAAGCACCATGGTCATTTTTCAGCCTCTTATTTCCACCAAGTTTGTTGTGGTGCAAGTTTACACCAACACTAGCTCAAAGTTCAGTTCACAAAGACTAAAAATACGGCTTTTTCTACTGTCTGAGTCAAGGTTCAAAAAGTTTTTTAGAGCCTCCTAAACTAAAACCTCTCTCCTTTAATCATCAACATTTCCTAAACTTCATTAATTTATGGATCCTTTTACAAAATCCTAAACTGATTTTAACTTTAAAAGCCGAGTAATCTGGATTTATGGTTGGCGATGTGGGTGAGACAGTGTTAACTAGGGTTGGGTACGTCCACTTCTGGATCCATTAAGCAGATTTTTGAATTGCGATTCTTTTTTTCGGTTCCGAGTTTCCACACTAGTTTGTTATCGGGGTGTGTGTTACTCTGCTCGGTGTTCTCTGTGCGTGCGCTACCAAGAACATCACTCGTCTGAACATGGACTGTAAAAAATACTCCAAAGTCGGGCTTCATCTTCGGAGAAGCTCAGAGCAACATCTGCAAAAGAACAATTTCTGCCAAAGGAGGACGCATGACAAAACATGACTAAACACTTTTGCGCGCCTGTGTAACACTTGGCGAGTGTGCTGTGTTTAACTCGCTCTCCTGCTCCCGTTGCTTCCTCCACTTCGGACAGTCAACCTTCATCATCAGCCAGAAGCTCCTCGTTACAAACAGAATCCGGTTGGTGAAAATTGTCTCATTCTCAACAAACCTGCTCAAGTTATAGACCAATTCCTAAAACTGTGTTTATCTGTTTATAGTTGTTGAACGCTCGCAAAGTGATGCTAACGTTAGACGGTCATAGACTGCTGTTTTCAAATCGTCACGACTGCTCCGGGTATTGAGTTTGTTTTATTTTTTTTTATATCCATCCATCTGTGCTGCAGATCTTTGTTTTTTGACTAATGCCAACTTGTCGTGTTTATTCAGCAAGTTTTGTTTTACAGTTACATCAAACTGTATCAGTTCTTGTCAACTGGCAATGTGAATAAATAAATGCTAAAGGCGTTTTTCAAACAAATAGTTTGTGACCTGTTGACTTCTATCTCAAAGAATCGGAATCGAGGATTGTTTAGAACAGGAGTCGATATTGAGAATCGGATTCGGACTTGGAATCGGTAAAATCCAAACGATACCGAACCCTAGTGTTTACATCCTTTATAAAAGTGACTGAAGGTAAAGAAACACAGAACAAACACAGAAAGTGGATTCTCCTCCATCCTCTAAAAGTTTCATCTGCGTCTCTCCTGATTGATTCATAAACTCCAAATGTCCTAGAAAGACGGTTTCATTGGTACCAATAATCTCTGTCGATAATCAATATGCTGATATTTCTCACTCAGGCCAATACAGATATATCTGATTCTCTCTTTTTTACTATAGAGACTCAGTAATATGTCTGCTGTCTGTTTCCAACACTTGAAAACACTTCTAACCAACATGTGTCAGCTCATATCAGCTTATCCAATAATCAATCTTTTGAGCCTTTATTGGCTGACACTGATATCCTGTCGATATATAAGGAGGAGAGAGACGGAGACTTTAAAGAGACAGTAGCTAATAAACTTCAGTCTGGGTTAAATCCAGAGTTTTTGAGTTTGTACTGAGTTATCAAAGGGAACAAACGATACCTGTAAATCTACATACGACACCCACTTTACGCTCGCTCTAGTTTGTAACCTCCTACCTAAAGGAAGACTGCGCCTCTGATGGGTTTTCCCCTCCGCAGCTTCGTCTGATGTTGTGTGGGCTGTGCGGCTGATCACGTACACACACTGAGCGGAGTCAGGCCGCGAGTCGACAGGTAAAGCGGTTTTTAAAACTCATCCTGGAGGTAAAAACAGCTGGTTCTGGTGACTCCAGCTGAATTTCACCTGTTGCTTTTGTTAAAAAAAACGAGGAAACATGAGCATCTCCTTATTTCACACTCCTATAGTTCATCATCCCTGAGTGAAATGAGATTATAACCCAAAGTTGAAGTTTGACGCTGAGCGGTTCTGTCAGCTTGTATCAGCTCCATTTACTCCACGATAAGCGGCTGAAGAAACATCAGCGAGGACGATGACAGGCCCGCTCTGTTTGGAGCTTTAAAGAAGTTAAATCAGCTCTCGGTCCTCTGCCAACTTTCAGTCATGGAAGACCAACTGAGACGGGCCAAGTGACAGGCATCAGTTACATCGGGAGCCATTATTGGTGCCAGCGCTCGCTACATTACAGCCTTCAGTCCGACTCTTTGAAGAATGAAGTTTTAGATGTTAAAAATATTTCCCTCGTGGGGATCCGAACAATGTGACCACTCAAAGGTCACCTAATTGGAAAGCGCCGACCGCCCGTGTCTGACTTTATGGCAACAGATTCCAGATAATGAAGTGAGAAAGCATCGCCTCTTTAGGAGGAATGGATCCGTCTTAGTCAGCGTGGGTTTTTACTGCGGAGGGGCTGAAGGTTCAAACTCATAACTTCATAGTTAAATAAAAAGCTGTCAGGGACTGGAGGTGAGAAAAGGACACTCTGGAGCTTGTTTAAATGTCACGCAGGAGAAGAGAAATCATGTTTTTGGCGGAAGCGCAACCTTCGAGAAGGAGCGGGAAACCCCGTGTACGGAGGAGACATTTCTTTTTCTGCTTTTTACGGCGCTTAAAACAACATTTTCTACTTTTCTCCACTTTTCCCTCAATCACACGCTTGTTCCCTTCTCCCAGAACACACACTCTGTTTTTCTGCAGCGGCCTACAGTAGGAGGAATGTGCTACTTTACAAGCGTAAGAAAAGGTTACTGCAGGTCAGCATCCCTTCAATAAACATCTGAGAACAAGACGCGTTCAGTTCAAACTGGGTTAAAAATGCTCCTCCTGACATTTGGTGGAGCGTCGTCTCTTAACACGCCAGAGATCTGCGGGGCTGCTCTCAAATCTAATAGCGCTGCAGTGCATTATGGGACAGAGCACAGGTGACAGCCAACAAAAAGCACACTAGGGGGGTTGTGGCAGGTTGCTGTGGCAACAAAACATGTCATGGGGCTGAGTAAATATAGGCTAACCAGTAGGCGATGTGCAGAGAGAGAGAGAGAGGAGGCGACTCAGGAGGCCACAGAGAGAGAGAGAAAAAAAAACAACATTTGTAAAGATCTCAAAGCTTCGCCGTCTTTTGATGTAGCAGGCCTCACTGCACAGCCACGACAAAAGAGATGACCTCAGATGCACCTTTCTTTTCACGCCGAGGAAAAACATTAAGAGGCAGACAAAGAGGAGCGAATAAAAGCAGAGGAGGAAGAGGATGTTTGAGCTCAACTATGATCCAATCCTGTGTGCTTTTACGTGTTTTACATACCCCAGAGTTATGGAAATATGAGCGTTTGACAAATAATTCATCAGCTTCTCCAGACCAACACAGAAACGTCTCCTCTGACACACTAAGTGTTAAAAAGACCGCAGGCTCCTCGTCATGGTTTAGCTTCAGCTCAGAGAGAGAGAGAGAGAGAGAGAGAGAGAGGGAAGGATTGGACTCGTTTTGCACAGAGGGTCAAGGGTCGCATCCTTTTCAACACATTCTGGGAGGAACGCCAACTAGAACAAGGAAAAAGAGCAAACTGCAGCCTCACTACAGACAGAAGGCATTACAGCACAAAGCCATTCAAGCTCGGCTGTCCAATCAGACAACCACTTGGCTTTCCAACATCGTGGAAGACGCCACATGTCACAAATCTCTACATTATGCATGGACCCTTTCGCAGATTTGGTCAACAGACACAACAACAACAACCGAAACTGTTGTCTCCCTGGAGAGAGCTGGGGGTTGTAAACAGCATCTTCTTCCCAAAACAACTCTGAAATCAACACAAGCTGAGACAAAATATTTAGCCCAAACAGAAGCTGACCTCCGCTCCAGAGAAACTCACCCTGACATTAGACAAATCTGAGGACAGGAGGACTACAATTCAGAGTTTAAACAAGCTGCTCCAGAAACCCACACATGGCTCCTACCAGACAGTCACAACTGTGAGTGAAACATGTGGTGAAGGTCAAAGTGAAGGGTAAGTTATCTGAAAGTGAAGCAGCAGTGATGCAAGATGAGAGAAATTTCTGATGAAAAAGAGACGAGAGAGAAAGTGAGAAATTCACCTGGACTGAACAGACCGTTTCAAGAGAAATTCACCTCCACAGCCTCTCAGCGCTCGTACACCTCGATTAGGACGTGACATTTTATAACATAGTTACTGGGTCTGTTTGTATTAATGCATCATGACTACAGTGACAGACGATGCACAATCTTATTTAAGTCTGTTTGTTCTATACAATATCATTTACCACACAGACTTCATAATAGTGCACACTGAGAGCTCCATAGAAACCTGCACACAGATAAAAATACCATTGTGCATTCATACAGAAGGCTGTAAAACTCCGACAGGCACCGAACAACTTGAGCAGAGTTCAAGATTGACTCAGCAGGAAGTAAGACGATGATTTTCTGCATGAATTAAAAGGTTTGTGATGAGTCTGAAGAGGCACACGTTTACAGATTATTATAGTGGGGATGATATTCTGATATTAAGAAGATCAACAAGTCTGCAGGTGTGAGATTGGTTTGGCTAGGGCTGGGCGATAAACAGAAAATTTACCGATACTGAAATTTACGACAATAACCAACGTCATTTTGCCCAAATCGGTATATTTGATGTCAAATAAATAAATAAATCAAAGTTGTTTTTGGATGTGTGTAGGTAGGCTATGGTCTCATGTCCCTTTAAGACGCTGTCCTACATCAGAGACGTGACTCCACCCCATCCAGTCCGTAACAAAGAGGGAAAGACAGGTGAGGAGATGGAGGACGGAGAGAAAGTTGGAGCAGCTGAAGTAGACGAAGTTAAAGTGGGAGGGGGTGAGCAGCTTGTGGAGAAGTTATCTTCTATTTATCAATATATCATGATATTGATTTGAGGACATATCGCCCAGCCCTAGGTTTGGCTACCACTGGCAGAGCTAACACCACCTGCCTTTAACATCCACATACCTGTTCTGTTTGGACGCTGACGGTTCACCTTACCTTCATTTTCATTTTCTGGAGCAAAACCTCGCCTAACTAAACTGCGCTACAACACCTCACCACTCATCTGTGGTTGTTTACATCCAGGTAGCAGCAGTTATCTGAACAGTATCTCAGCTCTACATCAAGAGAAATATGAGCAACATTAAATCTGACTAAACACACACATCTCCACATGAAAACAACACCTCCTCACATCAGTGCCGATGTCGGTGCTTTGCCAAAATCACGGGTCCATCACCAGACTCTGAGACCTTTCCCTCGCCATTTTCATGTGCCCGTGATTTCATACTTATTAGGCGAAACTAAGATGCTGTTGTCAACCAAAGAGAGGCCTCTTAATCCAACACGCCTGGACTTACTCCAAAACAGAATCTTGTTTTTAGTTGTAGAGTATTTCAACTGGTGTCGTCTTAAACTAGTTCAGATCTGCTGCTTGGTGCATGAAGCTTTATCAGATTCACCGTACCATCGATAAGTCCTGATTATAATGAAAAGTTTAAACTCTGAGAGCAGATTTTTATTCTCTTATTCATTAAAACTGTTTTTGGTTGTAGAAGCTTTGATGATCACTCAGACTTGCGGTTAGCTCCCTTGTAGAGGCGAAACGTAGGCCCGTCCGTTTCCCAGCCTCTGATCACACCTACAGCTGTTTTTTATCTGAAAAGGTTTGAGTCATCTCGTTTTTCACAGATGAGTTTCAAGCTTGTAAAAAAAGAAAAACAAACAGACTCACACAAGCTTAATTACTGGATATTAACCAGAGCTACAACCAGGTGGGACAGAACTGAGAAATCTCTTTCTTCGAGACTCGGCCTGTTACACGAAGCTTTCTTAAGTGCTGACAAACAGAGGTGAACATCCGTCCTCTGCCCCCGGTGAAACTGTGTACAGTATCTAAGGGTTAAATCCTGCGGTTGGTTTACGTTACATTCTCACTTCTTGCAGGCAGCGCCACAGTTCGCCTGAAAAAACATCAATACCTTCACGTTCACTCGGTATCAGATAGTGCAGGTACCTGGTGCTCGCAGAGTCAGAGGTCGCGGCTCGGACTCGTGTGGCCGAGTGTATTAATAAAATTTGAAAGGCAGAAGAGCCGCCGCAGTGAAGAGGACAGTGAACTCTTGTCCACAAAGTCAGTATGCAAAATCATGCAAAAGGTGAGCACAGCAGAAGGCACAGCAGACACTTGTGTATGTCATGTACGCGTCCCAAACGTCATGAATTGCTCAGCAGCCTAAACGCTTTCTAGAGAAGGATCACAAAGGGTCTTTTCTTTTTAGCACCCGGCCTATGAAGCGCAGTACTTAAGCGTCTTAGTACATCCTGTCGTGTGGAAACGTTCTCAATATCACATTATTCTTTCATAGCTCACCTTTGCTGTGCTCCCTGTAACTCACCCCAAACTTCTCAGATCACCAAACCAGATAAGAGGCACTTTGTTAGCGGCTCACCAAATCTGTCTTTGCATGCACTGGAGCGGCGCTGGCGGCGTGAGAGGCTGCTATGAGCTGATGCATTCAAATTAACCAAAGAGGTGTGGACTTAAAACACAGGTAGACTGCCTCATCCTCACCTGATATGTGTTATAAGTAATAAATAATACACACTAATACAGAAATATGAGGCCTTTTAAACTCCTGGTTTAAGCCGCATCCTGACTCTCAGAGCCCCCTGTGTAATAAAATCATCCTCAAACTAAAGCACAAAGTACAACAGGTTTACACAAAGGCTTACAGGTAAGCCAAAGACGGTCGAGTCTAAAAGAAAAGACGCTTCGGGCCCGGAGATATTCCCCCTTAAGTGGAAAGAAACACAGAGTGTACTGTGGCTCTGAAAGACAATTCGGATCAAGTTGCAAACTCTGTTAGGTGCTATATATAGCTCACCAGGATATTGTAGATACACAAACAGTAAGAAGCGCCTGTGCACACACACACACACACACACAGAGGGATAGAGATGAGCTGTAGTATCTTCCTCTGTAAACAGGTGTAAGTGCAGCACTATCAAACCGTACTCAACAGGCTGGACTAGAAAGGTGTAGTAGTTATAAGATAAGTGGCTTGAATCAAAACACATTTAAACAGAGACGAGGCATTAAAGAAAGGACGTGTGTGAGGGAGATATCACACACTTTCACTGACTGATGTTTGGCGGCATGTTTAAAAAATAAAAAACACATATTTGTGATAGTAACACTGTCTATTTAATTTGTCATTAGGTCCATTTGGCTGCTGTGGTTTCAATTTCTGAGACAAATCCAGCTCCACGGGATGTTTATCAGGTGTGAACAGAATCACAGCGTTAGAGAAATGCCTCTTAACCCTACAACACCATCGCCGACCAAACATGTTTACGTGATTTTCATGATGTTGTGTTTGTCTGAGTATCATGGGTCTCTGGGTAGCTTGGTAAATTATTTTTTCATATCAGTATTCGATATAGAAAATGAAATTTAATAGTGTTTATTGGTTGCATGTCTTTCCCGATACAATAAGGCTATGTTCACACTGCAGGTCAATTCAGATTTTTTTAACCATATGTGACACATATCTGATTTTTTCATCTAAGTGTGAAGAGTGTAATTCTGATTTTTTCTAATCTGACCCAGGCCTCTTTTGTTTGTGGATATAAATCGGATATATATCCGATGTAGGGCTGCAGCTATCGATTATTTTAGTAATCGAGTACTCTATCGATTAATCTGTCGATTAATCGAGTAATCGGATAAGAAATGTTTTGCTCTCACTGTAATACTTTGCATTGAATCACGTTTGCCTCATTAAAAACCATCAGTAACACACAAAACTGAAATAGGCCAGGTCTTTCAAATGAATATTTTTACTGCATAAATCAGGAACCAAAAGTTTTACATTTTACCATGTAGTTCACATGAAACTACTGAAGGCAAGGTCTGCAGATGGTCTTTTAATTGCTATGGTAATGATCTTTGCAGTTTTCACTAAACCAGTCACAACTATTTCCAGGCTTTGGATCTAATTTTACTTGTTTAATTAATAGGCTGAAATAATATAATTCTTGGATACTAACATAATTTGACAAGCAAATGTACATTTATTCAATATATAAAAGTGTTACATTTTTATTTACATGTTGTTGTGTGTTGGTCATTTTGCAGCCCTCTGCTGCTTATCACACGCCTAGCAGGTGGTGTATAGCATTATCACCATGGATACACGGATGTTTGTGTGATTTTTTTCATCCACTGCCGCCCGGTTTGTGTCGTGTAGATGTTGATTATGAAAACACTTCGCAATAATTTGGAAACGTGAAGGGGGAGCTGCTGCTGCCCGGTGTTTACGGTAAATAGACGCAAACACCGACCAAGTGGACGCTTCGGTCTCCGAAAACGCCGAGACAAATTTACAAACAGCCACTATTTCAAACAACTGGGGTCATAATCGTGATGTAAACACTTACTTTCTCGCTAGAAAAAATATTATTATTGAATGAATTTATATAATTTGTCCGGTATGCAGTCGTTCTGTGTAGCTTGTGGTAGGACTATTTAAATTTTCCCGGCGCTGCGTCCGGCCGGCACGAAATGCATTCTGGGGTATTTAGTATGTATGTGTGTAAACGCTCGGGCAGCCGCGGCATACTCAAATCATCTTTGAGTAGTCAGTAGGCAGTAGCTACTGCTTGAGTAGGTAAGTAGATAGCAGGCAGTATGCCATTTCGGACACAGCTTCTGTCTGTCCTCGTTTCCCTCCATGATTGAACCAAACGCGCGGCAGCGGAAGGAGCGGAAAGAGCACGCTTCTGCGCAACAGAAATAACCGTCCGTGTCAAACACCGTGCGCTGCACATGGTTCCGGATTTAAACGATTCCTCGAGGCATATAATTTGCCTCGAGGAATTTTATTAATCGAGTTACTCGAGTTACTCGAGTAATCGTTTCAGCCCTAATCCGATGTGACTGCAGTGTGGACGCTCAGGTCGTGTTCATCCCACCTATACGTCATCAATATGCGACAAACGTCACCATTGTTCGACAACACAAACAGGCGCGGAAAGCAATGGTGGATGAGGGAACGGAGAACAGCCAGCAAACATGCTTTGAGCACACGCGGGTCACTTCAAGGATGCATTCCGTTCACATTAGATGCCGCATTAGTTGTTCACGACCGCACAAAAAGATCGGATTTAACAAAAAATCCGAATTGGGCATCATAACCTGCAGTGTGAACGAACCCTAAACTACTGCATCTGTGAGGTCTTTGTGTCTCTTCGACATTTTGTTGTAAGGCGCTGCTCTAGAGAAAGCGAACTGAACGGTCGGCTGTTTCGGCTGCACAGGTGCCATGGGTTCCTCAAAAAAACAAAATACCTCCACACCATCGCCAGTGTTGTCGAGGATGTCGTCATCTGTTGAGCCTTCATCATCATCATCATTTCTGTCTGGGGTAGCACTCGTTCTTTTTGTGCACATGATTGGTTCAGTGCGAAGCGGACCTGGGGCAACTCCCCTTTTCATTGGCTATTCATATAGTCTACCAAAATATGACAGGATAACAACTAACGAAAAGGATAGCGACTATGTTTGATATTAATATTGAGGGAAATTAATTTTCGATATATATTGTTATCATTTTATCGCCCAGCCCCAGAGTGAAAGAGTGAAAAATATATATTTTTTAAATAAATGTCTAACCTCTTCACCCATGTGCTTCTAACCTTCACAGACACCATGAATTGATGCCTATCTCCTAAATATTTGGTCACATGATCAATTTCTTTGACCATTTCTAAGCAACAGGGGGTGGATCAACTTACCCCAGTCTCCCCTATAAAAATCACTGTGCTATAGTGATGGTGTTCCTAATTTTAGGGTTAAAAATTTCCTTGTATTACATTAACAGGTTGAAACAGATTAAATCCAGTGTAGTGAGTGAGTTTAGAGTCAGACAGTGTTCAGCAGCTGCATGTTTCTCTCCACATGCCCACGCTGAGTCTGGGATGAAGTGACAGGTATGGTTACGCAGTCTGTCACCTCCTGAACGCGGTTTTAGCTGCTTAGCACAAAAATAACCATCCAAAGAGTCGAGCCGACCGAGGCTGACTCTGACAGATTAGCCCGCTGACAGGCTAATAATCCGGGTCAATAACACATCTGGAAGGGGAACACTCGCATCTGTGGACCGTGGAGGAGGAAAACGTAAAGTTGAGCAAGCACCGCATTGTTGTTGTCAGGAGAATTTAAGGACACATGCCCCTGGTGTGAACCCCGGTACTCCAGGAGACAGACAGGGGTGTTGTGACGAAGAATGCACCCCTGCCAGAGAAGGCACCCCCTGCATCCCGTCCACTCATTAGCTTCTTAAAGTGGGAGAAATTGATCTTAAAATTGAGACAAAATAGGAGTATTGGATCGTGACAACATGTCAAATAGAGAAGGAAAGTTTCGCTCTGTTTTTATGTGTCTCAAAAATCGACATATAGAGGTGTATTAAACTATACATTAAGCTGTTTTTTCGTGTTGTTTTCGGTTTATCTGAGTATCCTGAATTAAATCATTAAAAATAAACACTTTTAAATCCATCTAATATTAAGGAAAACTTTGATTATTTCGCCTTGTTATACCGCGCTCCCGTCAGCGGGGGTGCATACAGCAGGGGTGCAATCTCCGACAGAACACCGGTCCACGGGCTAACTTAGCATGCTAATTCATGTCTCCTCCGCTAGCCTCCTGTAAACTGACGCTGTGCCGTAGCTCACATCTGCAAGCGACCCAATGCTAGCTAACGGGATTTGAACTTTGTTATTGGCTCGTAAGCGACTGTAAAGGACTTGATAAAAAACGAGGAGAAAGTTCCCCGAGCCCACACATGAGGAAGACGAGATGAGGAAGAAGAAGCGGACAGCTAGCATGCTCGGGCAGTGTCAGTGTTTGGGGGGGAAAAGCTCCGTACTCTACCTGCTCGTCTGAGATCACAAGAGGCCGATGTCAGGACTGACGGCCAGCCGACATTCCCCGGAGTGGCCGCCGCCGCCACCGCTTGCTCTCCCCGCCGTAACCACTGCGCAAGACGGTCCCGATCCGCGGTGTTTGGTGCAGTTTTGACGGAGGATCGGATGGTGATTAATGAAGAAGAAGACGGCGTGATTAGAGTGAAGTTTCGCTGGAAATCAGAGGACGCGTCACCTTGCAGCGGTTCATGACTCCTACTAGTCAAGATGTAGAAGGGCAGGACGTTGCATTTCTCTGCGAGTCCATATCACTCCCAGCCGCTGACAATAATTAGTGTGGCCACACGGGCATCCGTATGTCACTACAGGCTGCTGATCTGTCACACTGGACTCCTCATTTTTATTATTTATGCTCAATAAAAATGACAGAATTTTAACATCATGATGAAGTCAACGCCCTGAGAGGAAATATTTATCCCCACATCTGTCTTCACAGTAACCAATCAATCACTCCAATACATCAGAGTAGATAAAATAGGGGAGACTGGGGTAAGTTGAGCCAAAGGGTAAATTGGAATTAGTCCTGATGCTCTGGGGATCACTAGAGTCCATGTCCTGGGTATCTACCCTGTAGTTGGAGTCACCGCATGGTCTTAATATCACTTGTCCGTAAACTGTCCTGAGGTCTGACGGATCAAAAATCTAACACTCTTTCGCCTAAGGCGAAACGTCTCAAGTAAGTCCAGTTGTCCTTTCAATGAAGAACTAGGAATCTTAAATGCTGCATTCTCAGTTTTAAACAATAGGGGAGAGTGGGGTAAGTTGAGCCACCTCCTCATTGATCATGTGACCAAATATTTAGGAGATGGGCATCATTTCATGGAGTCTGTGAAGGTTAGTAACACAGGTTAGACATTGAGGCTACGTTCAAACTGCAGGTTATTATGCAGGTTATTAACAAATAACTGAAAAAAAAAAAACACCTTAATACAGTCGGATAAATGATAGAAATGTCCTCTTGTAGTTTATCAGTTTCCAAAAACATCTACTGTATCAAATGGGCTAATAAATATATTCATTAAATTTTAAGGACATTTTGGGGGTTTTTTTGTTGTTTTTTTTAGTAATACGTGAAATTAACATTTCAGCTCTAAAAAATGTGAATTTTTTGGCCATAAATTGTGGTTTCAGGCATTAAAGAGTTAAAGACATTCTCATGTTAAAATGACTTTTTACAAAACAGCTTTTTATCAGTTATATGCAATAATAATAAAAAGAATTATTGTACCTGTTTAAAAAAGCGTATAATAGATAACAATACACATGAATGTGAAGAAGTGACTGTTATCTAGGGAGAGGTAGTAGGCTAGTTGGGATACAGCTCAACTCACCCCACTCCTATGGTCAACTTACCCCATACATTGGATAAGTTGACAATAGGAGACCACTTTTTTTGTCATGCTATATTATCAAGACAGTTCTGTTTACACTCATTCTGTTGGTTTGCAGGGATGAACATGATCCTGAAATATCTGCAGATACACGAGTTAGAGGCAAAACTATGATTGACTTGATGTAGTGATCTGAAATATGAAAAATGGTTAATCTTACCACACTCTCCCATAACCCCAAGTTGATTTTCTACATTCGATCTCATTTTTGATGGCAGGAGGAGAGTGAATGATCTCAAATCTGAGATGAAAACATTTCAGATTGTTGTGTTTTATTAAAAAAAAACATTAAAAGTTGTTGAGAGTGAGGATCCAGTTGTTGCACTGCTGCTCTTTTTTTCAGCTGAGTGCTCCCTCTGGTGGCTGGGCAGCAGAGGCTTGGTAACATACCCTCAAGTGAACTTTTGATACATGCATTTTTTCTTTTTTCTGCAAATGTGCAACTACTTTCAGTTTGCACTGTGAGTTCATGCAATGCCTGTATCATTAGTCACCTGAGATCATACATGTTTTAATTCATCTTTACAAACGAGAGCACCTTCTGCAGGTTTCCCAAACTAAACTAAAGGGAACATGGCTCAGAAGGAGAGCACATGTCGTGTGTTTTCCCTGTCCAGATGTTTTCACTGCTGCACAGATTTGCACCAGCAACAGTTGCTTCTTGAACCTCCAGGATGTAGGTCTGTAGACCACCCACTATGTTGCTTTTTTTCCCTCTTTTTTTTGCAGAAAGTATGAATAACTCTGTTTTTTTTCTCTCTCTTATGAGGCAAGTGTTTGAATATTAGGGAAGAACACATGCAGGGCAAGTCCTTATTCCCTGGGGTTATGAGCTGCAGTGATTTATTCTGAGAGGAGAGAGAGTAAAACACAAACGTTCAGTAAATATAGGTCAGAGTGGAGCAGTGAGAACCGTCACAGGTGACTTTCTGGGACTCGCTGACCTGCAGACAGTGTAAGCAGACGTTGCAAAGTCATGCAGCAGAAAGAGTCGACATCAATCAGCCGTGGGAGCTCCATCACACCTGTTGGCACCAGACATTTTTAATCACCGAGTAATTAAAAAGCTTGAGATTTTAATTATGCCATTTGGAAGCGGTGTGAACTCTACAGTATTCTGTCGTGATATGTCGGATCAGAGAGGAGCGCGGGCTGAATGTTGAGCACTTTCCTTTCTTGGATTAAAGACCACGACATGTTTCATGTTTTCTGATTTCAAAATAAAAGTGCTGTTTTAATGAAAAGACAGACAGCTCTGACATGTTTCTGATTTGGTGATTTCCTGCCCAATAGAGCGGGCTGTGGACATGGAAGAGCCCGCAGATGGAGTATACTGCATTTGTTATTACCATGAAAATGCAAAAAAGATGCTGTGAGTTTTATCCCACCATCCCCCCCTTGAGATATATTCTATCTGAGTCCATTATTCTGGGCTGGTGTATGGCGAGCAGAGGAATGAGCTCAATTAGGTGAGGAAATGAGAGGAGAGCGGGGAATTAGGACCCCCAGTATTTGGAGAGAAGGAAAATGAAACATTGGAGGAAGGTCAAGAGAACATAAGAAGAGAGCAGAATGAGAGAACAGCAAGAGAAGAGGAGAGAGAGAGAGAGGAGGGAGATCGAGAGAGGATGAGAAAGTGAAACTATGTTGTCATGGAAACTGGCATGGATCTGAAGAGCAAAACAAGAATGTAAATTGGTTTACCCTCAGGGAACGTGATGGCGCTACGGGGAAGAAATGAGCCAGGTGATGCTTTTCAAGGGAAGATTCTCTCAAACATTTTATGCATATAAAAAAATGTAAAAGTAAAGTGTGTTTCAAACAGAAATGGTAATGAGAGAACGGTCTTTAAATGTCTATACTTCAGAGGGAGGATGGAGACATCATCCCCACCCTTCAGGCTGGATATTTTCTTATAAACGACTAATTAAAAATGTTCCCGTGTGAGGGGCAGAGGTCAGTCTGAGTGGGTGAATTACTGATGGGATAAACAACTTGTGGCTCAGATGCTGCTGCTGCACAGTGACATGAAGTGATGGAGATGCATGTTAACCGTCTTCATGCTTGTTTAAGAATATCACAGACAAAATAAAGATGATTAAAATAAATATGTGGGGCTGTTCGATGGCCAGACTATCAGCTCTCTGTGTTTGTGAGATCTGTTCAGACTCCAAAACAGAATTTAAAAAGTTGATTTATTTCCTCCCTCACCTGTCTGATTTTTTTAAAACTCTGCTCACAGACACGTCTTTTTAGCCGACCGCTTGGATCCCGTCATTAGATTTGATGCTGGAGTCAGCCAGAGATGATGGGAATGTTGCCAAGAAACAGATGGTTTCCGTGGTGACAACACCACCACTGCCATTGTGCTTAGCGATGCAGGAAGTCAAGTCCCTCACCCACAGTATCCAACGCCACTTTGAGAGAGGAGAAAAGAGTACAGCCGAGAACAGAGCGTGCTCAACAGACGGCGGGCAGAGCGGCGCTCTTAAGTTTTCAAGTGTTTATTTGTGAGCGCTCCAACAATGGTGACACACATCTTCAGATTAGTATCTCTAAAGCTCCAGTGAGGAGTTTTTAGCTTCTCATAAAACAGTTTTATATAGGTATTAATGCCTCTGTAAGTTCATTTTAAGGCGGAGGGGAGGTGAAGTGATTGACTGTGTAACGCCAAAGCTGTAATTTTTGGAGTAAATTTACAAAATATCTATTTTTTACTAAATCAATGAGATAATTACCTTGTTAATTAAAAAAAGCAGAATAAGTTAATTTTATGAATGCAGTATGCTTACAGGGACATTGGAACAAACACAGGAGTTTCTTTTTTAGCCCTTTAATGCCTGAAACCACAAATTATGATCAGAAAATTCATTTTTTTTGGAGCTGAAATGTTTATTTCTCTTACTACTGAAAACCAAAAACAAAAAAAAAATGTCCTTGAATTTAACAAACATATTTATTTATCTCGTTTGATACATCAGATGTTTTTGGAAACTGATAAACCACAAGAGGACATTTTTATCATTTATCGTGTTTTTGTTGATCATATTGATTTGATAGAAGTATCATAAAAGTATGTATGAAATATGATATTAAAGGGTTAAGTTTTTACAATCATAAAATAGACTAAAATTTATAAAGATGCCTTTTCATGAGCATCAGGAAGTAATTTTTTAAGCCTTTTTGTCAGGATAAAATCAGCAAAGGGATTTATGAATTCATCTAAAATTAGCATAAACCCAAAGTTCCGCACTGGAGCTTTAACATTCAATAAATACTGTTTTCACCCATAATGAAATAGCTCTGTAGCTTTGACATACAGTGTACTTATCTGCAGTGAAAGCTACATTATTACAGTGTCTGTGTTTTAGAGAGTACATCCACTGACTGCTGCACAGCTCTACCTCACACAGGTGGTTTCCCAGATGGCCATATTCAGCAACAATCATGTGCTCCTCCTGCTCTTACTTTGAAATCCTGCAGGTGTTTGGTCGAGGGCGGCCTGCAGACAAAGAAGAGACAAACTGATTAAGAAAAGAGTCAGACTGAGGCAGCCATGGATGCTGAGAAGCATTTCATTGAGGAGGAATCTAAGCAGCGACATGTGTGATCCGACAGGAGGAGCATCTTTCAGTCAGACTGGAAAAGCTCTGATCTGGGGGATTTAGACGCATTTAATCAACTGAGCTGTGTACACGAGGATTTATTGTTGATTACCAGGCGGAGACGAGCATCTGGGTCCTCGTGGAAGTCAATCCGATCTCCACAGTCTTGTTTGTGTTGTGATCAAGGTTGTTGGCACATGTAAATACCCATGTGGCCAATTTTCTGCAGGACGTTGGCCAACATGTCCTCTTGGCTCGGGTCCATGAAGGAGGACGGTTTAGGTAACGTTTGGTTGTTCAGTTCAGTCATTATAACACAGACAGAGAAGCGTTCATTATAACAGGACAGAATGATTAAAACAGGAACGGTGGCCTTTTAACAGGATTACAAATAATAAAGCTTTATAATAAAGAGGAGGTCAAATCATACCAGCCAAAGTTGTGAAGTGTTAAGAAAAGTATAAATTATTTAAACACTGTATGCATTCCACTGTGAACATTAGTCCCATTCTTACCTAACATAAGAATTCTACGAAAGAGGATTAGGGCCACTTGAAGAGAAAAAAAAATACAGGAAGGAGATTAAAGTCGAAATTTCAAGATTACAAAATGTCTAAATATCGTGAATAATGTCGAAATTCCGAGATTAAAGACGAAATTCCGAGATTAAAGACGAAATTCCGAGATTAAAGACAAAATTTAGACATTATAAAAATCGGAATTATGACAATAAAGTAAAAATTTTGAGATTAAAAATGGAAATTTCAAGATTAAAGTCGAATTTTTTCAGATTACAAAGTGCCCAAATATTGTCAATAATGTCAAAATTTCGAGATAAAAAAAAAAAATTTTGAGATTTAATTTCAAGATTTAAGTTGACATCAATAAAGTCGAGATTTCTACTTTTTAAAATTCCAACTTAAATCTCGAAATTTTGACTTTAATCTCAAATAGAAATGAAAAAAATCTCCCTCCTGTAATTATTTTTTCTCTTCGTGTGGCCCAAATCCTCTTTTGTAATATTCATCAGCTCCATAA